AAGTATAAGCGTAGGGAAAGCTATCCTTACTATACGGTAGCCCTAGGCTCCCTAGGCTCCTATAGTAAATTAGGTTACGCTAGGCTACGAGCTAAAATACCGATATAATTTCTAAGTATCCTAGGAGTAAACTCGTATTTACGAGTACTCGGCTATTACTCTCGTACTTACGAGATATTACGACGAAGTCTACGCCTATATAATATAGGCCTATACTTCTTTACTTAGATAGACTTTAAGTTATTCACTAAGATAGAAAATATCGATATATTCTACTCTTTTAGCTACTTCCACTATAGATCTAAACCTTATCCACCGGATAGGGTGAACTTAAAATCGTCGTCTAATAGGTCCTCGTTTTATTATAGCGCCTATAGATAAGCTTACGGACTATTTAATTAGGTTACCATCTCGTCTAATATTAAGTCCGATAATATACGCTCTACGGCGAAATTAATAGTTATTAAGTACTATTAGAAGTATAAACGTAATATATTACTTAGCCTAAATTAAGCCTAAGAATTCTCTTTTAACCTAATAGGTTATGAGCCCGGCTCGCGCTTATAGCGTAGTTAGCTAGTGCGTCTTCCACTACTTAGCATTAGCTTAGCGTTTTATATACAGTACATTATGAGATGGGCGCCTTTAAGTTAAGTTAGAAACGTATTGTGACGACTCCAAGAAACGGATGAATAATGCTCCGATTCGCAACATTGGCGCTACTTAGACCGATGACGGCCGAAAAAAACAGCGATCACCTCGATCTTTTCGGTTGAATTATGAAGGTATTTAACGATTCTAAGAAACGGACGAATGATGCTCCGATTTGCAACGTTATCGTTAGCTCTAAACCGATTCCTTCCCAAAAAAAACAGCTGGCACCTCGCGTAGTGTAGTTTAGCTGTTCAGCGATATAGCTTTCGTGCTCGACATCTATATATCGCAATTACTAAAGTACTTATTCCAACCACTACCTGAAATTCACATTTATTAATACACAAAATGTGAATAGACTTATAGAAATCGCTGCTCAATTCTCTATGCCTAAGCGACGTATATTATAGTTTACATACACTCCTATACACGCTTACACTCTTTCCCCCCATAGACATTAAGGCTGTCCAGCAACTTCTTCTCAAACTCTATATAGTCGATAGTTAGACACGAAGGTTTCAAATATGTACAGCCTAATAAGGGGTTCCCTGGTAGGATCCGAACCGCGTAGTAGTACTAACTAAGGTGGTTCCTTAAGGAGTAGGTATTAGAAGGGACTGACTAGTTATAGATCGAAGGGAACTATTCTCTTTCGGACTATCCTAAATGTAGGTAAAGGATTATCTACGAAGTTGACTACGAATAGTCCTATCTAAGAAGAGTGAGCGTATATATATAGTGCTAGTTTAGTCGCACTGTTACGCGGTTGCACTGCCATCAGTGAACCTCAGCCTCGTCTCCTGGCGACCTTTCAGTGACCTAGTTCGTAACATTCTCTTAATCCTGCCTTTTCACTGCAATAAAGTAATCGTTCTCTTTCAGGACTTTCCAGCCTCTTATGCCATGGTTAGACAAATCCCCACTCCACTGTTCGCCTTCGCCTTCCCATCGCCACCACTGGATTGCGACTCCTTTCAGTGGTGCTACTTGATCCTTATGAATTCCCAATGCCGGCTCATCCCTACTGTAAGTGACCTCAATATCCATTTCCCAAGTCACAAATTCGGGAGTAACCCCCGTCGTTGTAGACTTAACAATTTTAAGAGACGACATCATCCCAAAAGTCTCTATGAACATAGCTTTCAAGGTGATATAATCCATTCCAAATTTTCCTAGTGCTGTTTTCGTATTTAGTACTAGTTCAATGTTTGGAGTAGTTGGTAGGGATGTCCCCTAAATAATATGACAGCTCTATCCACTTACCAACATCATCAAAGCAAATTTCTCTGGACTGCCAAGACATGACTTGTTCAATGTCAGTTGTAGCAAATGCCTCCTCTAGAGCAGCGGTGCGAGCTTGAATAAGCCGGTGCACAGCTTCAGCGCTAGGTTTACTGGCCATACTCTTTGTTGTAGAAAGGATGTTATAAGCTAGCTTATATAGACTCGTGTTGTAGTTAGCCTCTATGCACACCTAATAAGAAATAGCACTAAGTCGCCGGGGTGTTCTAATAGGACTAAAGGAGATCCTTTAGATGGTCCTTTTCGAACATATTTATATTCAGAGCAATGCATAAGGAAAATATTAGGTTATTCCGGTTAATTCCGCGAGTTTCGAGCGAATACTCGAGCCAAGCGTATAGGTAAATTTATATTTAGGTTTTAGGCACGAACCGCTTACTAGATTTCACACTACTTACTCGGTACGTCTTTAGCCTATAAAGAATAGGGTGATTTCGGCCGTACTGGTCCGTAGCGCATTACCTATTATATTCGTATAGTATTTAGGAGACTCTACTATTTTTATAAAAGTCTAATTAAGAATAAGGTACTATAGTACCTAACCGTAGTCGTAATGTATATATAGGCCTAGCCTAGCCTAGATCGCATTTATTCACCCCGACCTCTTCTAATTTAGAATATATATATTCTACCTAGTAAGAATTAGGTTTATAAGTTATTAAGACTAAGCGATACTCTATTAACGTCTAGTTACGTAATTATACTTATATAAGCTAGGATTACATAGTATTCCTTAGGCAAGGCTATACTTAAGCCTTACGAAAGATTCTATAAAGCGCCATTCTATTCTATAGGATTAGAAATCACTCAACTTAATTTCTAAGCATCCTAGGAGTTAACTCGTATTTACGAATACTCGGCAATTACTCTCACACTTACGAGATATCATGACGGAGCCTACGCCTATATAAAATAGGCCTATACTCCTTTACTTAGATGGATCCTAAGTCATTCAATAAGATAGAAAGCGACTATATATTCTACTCCTTCTTTCTACGGTCTTCGGCTACTTCCACTATAGATCCTAAACCTTGTCCCCCGGATAGAACGTATTCTTAAAGATCTTATTATTTATATATTCTAATTCTTTTACTAGTTTCTTAAATTTCGAGTAATAATTTACTATAGATTCTATTTACTTAAGGATATATATAGTATAAGAGGCTACTATAGCCTCGCTAATCGTACTATAAATCCATTTAATTATTTCTTCGAACTACGTAAAGTTTCTAAAGTATACCTTAGTTTTATCGTCGAGGTTAAAGAACTCGAGGTAGTCGACCTATATTAGTTTAATCTAATAGAACGCTACTCCTTTAAGGTATATCGCTGCGAATATAATATTATCTTCTACTCGAGTATACTTAGTTAGATTAAGCTTAAAGGTAGTCTTAAGTTATATAAGGAAGTATCCTAGCTTCTCCCTATTTCCGTAGAATAGTTCTTATTAAGGTTTAGCTAGGAATTTAGAGTAATTCGTCTAACTACCGTATAACGAGAATTCTAAAGCTAAGGAGAAAAAAAGAAAAAGAGGAAATCTACCTATCGTACGAATAAAGGAAATACCTCCTACTCTCTCCTATAGTAGATTAATATAGTTTCCTAGGAGATAATCGATAGAGAGGAGTTACGTGGCTTCGGCTGTATAGTTGTACGGGCTAAAGGTGCACTACGAGTAATCGCTCTAGGGAGTACTCTAGAGCTTTATACGAGTTTAACCCGTAATAGTTCTACCTTAATTCTATTCCTAGATATATTAGTAAGTCCTATTACGTTAACTATATTTACGTTTAAGTCTTCGTTAGTACTACTATATTAGGAATACCCTAAGAGGCTTCCTAGCAAGTATATAACTAAAAGGTCCGAGAATACCTCGTACTTCGTGCGAGATTCTAGTCTTTTTAAGCGATCCTTAAGGGCTTACGGACCTATTGCCTGATAACTATAGAGGACCCTAGACTATATAGATAGTCTAGGATAGTCTATAGTCTATACTAGTATTATATATATATACTTCTTTATCTAGATAGAATAGTTTATAGTTAACTTTATTAGTAATCCTATACTTATATTTAGGATATAGTCCGACGATTAGATATTCTCTTTATTAATCTAGTTAATACTCTTATATCCGCTCTATTAAGGAACTCTATCTTAGTTAGAACTACTTATAGCTCGGACTATAATAATATATACCTAAAGATCTCCTCTATAGTAGGCTTATATAGCCTCGCTATTTTTTATTTCGTTAAAAGTAGTTATATATTTAATTTCTATATCGGTTAGTATAGGTAATGTTTTTATAATTATATATTTTCAAGCCTAATATTTTATGTTAGACTTACGAGCCTAATAGGAGGGTATAATTATCTTCCACCGGCTCCGGATTCGCGAAGAACTTTATGTACACTTCCTCATTAGACTAAAGTCGTCAGGGTTCACTAGATATCTATTAACCATGACCACTAATACGAAGGCAGCTTACTCTAGCACGGTTGAGAGGCTTCGAAGTATCTTGCTCTAATGCTGGATTTAATCAGCTTTAAGTATAACTTCGTAGTCTAGTTCCGATCAAGCTCAGATGGGATAACCGCATCGTTTATTCTTTGCCATTCTTTCGCACATTTTCGCCGCTTGTGGATCGAAACCTAGCTTACCCGAGCAGAAGATTCATTATTAATCTCTAAATTAATAGTGATTTGCGCCTAGGCTGTAGACTAGGGGTTAGGTCTCGGATTAGGACAAACACCCACCCGAAGGAGGTCGTACAAAGAGAGTGAACGTAACTTGCTGTACACGCTGCTCAACACTAAAGTACCTCTACGCGCTCAATTCCAAACTTCCTCACTGCAAGGAAAGGCTACGCTCAAACCAAATCCATGGCAAAATCCCGGGACCAGACTCAGCCGCCATAAGCGATGTAGTCCTCTATATTAAGGATCTAGAACAAGCTACCTCCAAACGATTGTCGTCGTCCGCAAGAGGTAGGTGAATGTCTTCCAACGCATGACCCTTTGAGAAATGCAGGAGAGTCAGGGCTACTATCTACGATTTTGACTGACTCACCGATGGAAGCATTTTACAATTCGGACTCAAACGCCCAGACGACAGTACAAGAGAGTTGGACAGCCTATTCCAAGTATCGACTTCGTCCTCAAGTGCTTGTGGATATGTCACAAGTAGATACCAGCACCATTAACTTTAGGCAGACCGTCAACTTTCCGCTTTATATCTCGCCAGCAGGGACTCAGGCAATGGCACACCCAGACGGTGAGCTCGCGACCACCCGTGCCTGTGCCAGAAGACGTGTTCACATGGGAATATCTTCCTTCTCCAACTATTCAACTGGGGACGTGAGAGCTGCTAGATTGGAAGTTGGCTAGATGCAACATACGATGCAAGTACACAGCCTAAAAGACCGCGCAAAGCAGCGAGTCTCGACGATGGAGTGTACTTGTGTGTTCGGATTGTAAATGAGAGGCACTCGACCTGCTAGATTCTTCTTTTTGACGTCCTCTCCTTCGACGCCATTCGAGCCGGCGTCAAACTCAAGAAAATGCGTCTGGTACGGAAGATGAAGTTCCTCGAACATCGTTACAGTCTTGCACGGATTCCGATCTTGGCCTACAATGGAGAAGCATCAGTTGCAAAGGCGAGCGGCGTTGGCCACAGAAAGCGGATTCTACTTACGGTGCGAGTAAAAGGCGAACGGCGTCATCTTCGGTCGACGGTGGGCGTTGATGAGTCGCGACGAAGGTCGAGAAAAGGGTTCGCAGGAGTAGTGCCGAATTCCGTTTCTACTCCCCGTTCGTCTGTACCGAGACGAGTCTGTTCTATATCAGATCAAGTATCGCAAAGTCCAGAACTCGTGCACACAAGGAAACCAGACCTAGATTGAATGGTCTGAGCGAGCACTTCCTTCAACCACGATATAAAGCATGGCCGCTTCATGCGGGCTGATGGAATCACGAGAGCAGCATTGGTCAGCAACGCCGCCTCATAACCAAATTCGCGAGTGCCCATGCATTTCCCTCATTAGGCTGCACTACGACAAAAATTCCGCACCAAAGCCTCCGTCGCAATCCTTGGCGAACCGGGAAGTTGACCCAACCCTTCTAAGCTGAAGCAAAGACGCCAAAGAACGTCTATGTGACGCGACCAGATCTGTTTATCCCAGCGTGCGCCGCGGGTCAGCCGGACCAGGGTGATCGCGGAAACTGCTCACATCGACGAGGTAGGGGCCGTGGTTGCCACTATGATCTGAGGCCGTGTGCTGAATCTTTGCGACAGAGAGAGCGAAGGACCGAAAATACACTCCGAAGGCGGCTGTTGATATGAGCCGCTTGGATGCCATCATATTAGGAATGAGAATGTCGGAGATGAAGAAGCTGTATTTATTGCAAATTTCATCATCGAGACGAAGAAGATAGAAGAGTTAGGCATCCTCCACGCCTTAGTCCAGGTTGATGCGGAGGAAGGAGAGAAAAGGGGGGGATGATCCTTGGTAGCAGGCGTGAGACTCGTTGACCAAGAAGGATCTCAAATGCGCAGATGGATCATATGAGTCTAGTGCCTGTTGAAACTTGTGTGGAGGATGGGCTTTTTAAATTCTCAATCATTCACGACCAATTTTTGCCACCTGCAGCAACGAACACCACTACCACTAAAATCTTGATGCTGCTGTATTTTCGCAGTTACTAAGTAATACCTTCACCAAAGATTAAGGGGCTACGGGAACTTTGCAGACAGGTATTGCCTGCCTCGTGTCTCTACCACTGTAAAATTTGCACTCTTTCAGTAAATAGCGTCTTGACCGATGGTTCGATTCTGGGTTTGTTTCCCACTTTGAAAGAATGAGTCTCTTCTTTAGAAACTAAGTTGACATTAGTCTCTGTCTGATTGTACCATGAGCCACTCCACGGCTGAGAGTTGCCAGACAAAATCCAATATTTCTCCTTGCGGGCCGCACAGCAGATAAGCGAAATGCGTGCCCAGGAACGACAATGACTTCCAAAGTCATTCATTTCCAACTCTCGCGGTCCGTGCAGAGGGATACTTGAATAATTAAAACTTATGGAACAAGAATAAACTAGTTGACTTCTCTTTAGGTTTTTCCATTTGTGGAAAATGATCTCATTCGTTTTCATAAGCTTTCTGAGCCCGAGATGCAAAGTTTGGAGATGTTTTTCCGGACGCTGAACGCGATCTTTCTGATGGCTATTAGATGTATTAGTTGAAGTAGCAGTTTAGCAAATTAAGATGACAGCTTAAAACGGCCAGCAATCTTGGAGTCCCTGGTTCTTTGGTGAATGCAAGATGTGATACCCTTATCCATGGAGGTGATATGGATGAAATAATTCAGAGAGGAATGAAATGCTTAGATGCTGGAGCTACCACTTTATTTGTCTGGGGTGACACTCGAAGAGGAGTTAGTTGACCAGATATTGAGAGAATGGTCAAAGACTTGAACGGTCGCTTGGACCGTGTCACTGAAATGCAGCCGTGGGCTTACTGTCAGCGAATTGGCCCATGTTACAGTCACCCGCACCAGCGTCGGGCCCACCACTCGGGTTTTGGCCATGAAGGGGTATACCAAGAACGCCCATGAACTTGGAACAGGAATGAAATGTAATTGTATTCTAGCGAAGCAGGTGATGGACAGTCCAAACATGAGTTAGGGTTGTCATGTAGAATATGCCGCAGAGCCACAGTCGCCAAACAAGGCAGAGAGCATAACCACCAAATTCAAACACTCTACTCTCAGTTTCTCGACGATGGCGAGATAGGAAAGTGCAATTTGATCATTCTAAATCCATTCAGCATGGCAAGAAGCGAAAGTGCTAAGGCATCTCTTTATCACATCTAAGACTCGAAGCGTCATTGAGTATCCTTGTGCTGTCGTTACCGAATTTACAGTGTGTACACCAGCACAGACAACCAGCATACTTCCTGTGGGCATCGCACCGCACAGCAATCGTCTCATTGCGTCTACACGCATCCAAGCACTCTCTGGCGACTCGGGAGTGATTTGTCGCTGAATGCCATAGATTTCACGTTTGCTGGACTCCATAATTTGGGCTAATTATCCACTAAAGTGACATAGTCTGTTTGTAAGATACTACTAAGTAGCAACTACCCAATTCGCGAACGGTACCAGCGAACTCAGCAACCAAGTCGAGGGTAGGGACATACTTCTGTCATTTCGATAATTGTTGCCAACGATTGAGTTAAAGGCATCGGGCACCCCTCAAAAGTTAGCACCAAAACGTTAATTGTATACTGTAAAGAGAGTGTACTGGTGCTTGTCCGGGCGCCTTCTTCCTGCTCTGTTGCCTATCCTGTCCTGGGTGCCTTAACGACAAAGCAATCGACTATGAGGTTGTTGAAATAAAGACGGTAATAGAGGCGCCATCAAACAGAATTTCTTGGGTGTCCAACTGATCTGCCACAACTAAAAGTACGCTGCGAGAGGCGATTTACCTTCTCCAAATAGTTCACCACCTGCTTCGATCGATAGTTTTGCGGCGCCAGAGGATCTCCTCTCTCCCAAAAAGTGACGTGCTCCTCCCATTGTCATTTTGCTATTCTCACCTTCACGACATTGGGGTCTTCATCGGGATAGCCGATAGCCAACCCACAGATGAAATATTTGTAAGTCTTCGGAGAGACTTATCTCTTCTTTGAAAACTTCAGGGTACCATGCCATAGTCATCTGAGGAATCGATCCCAAGCCTTGTTCCCACAGCAAGAGAATGACGTTCTCCAAGTAGATACTCACAGAAGCCACGTCGGGGGTTGCAAGTGCCTTGTCCATGCAAAAAGGAGCCATGAGGGGTGCTCCGTAGCTTTTGAAGTTCAGTTTAAGCACTTCGTGGCGACCGGCTTTGTCCTCCCGCCGCAATCCCGAAACCCTCACCATGGAGGACTCTTCCTTGCTTTTCAACTCGATCTCGAAATTTTGGAGGAGGATCCGTCATTTCCTTGGGCCTGCCACTTTCAAGGCTCTTGACGAGTTTGTTTTGAACCTTTAGCAACTTGTCATCAGTGATAACCTTGACCTCCCGTGGCTGTATGTTAAAATTTGACGCTGAGTTTTGCGCAACCTGAAGACTTCTTCTAAAGTTTCCCGCGGAACTGGTCGGTCGCGGACGAAGGCGTGGATACTGTGGCGCTGCGCAATTGCCTGAGAGACGGGCAGTGGGCGGGAAGCTCTGAGATTCGACATTTGCAGAGATCATGTTGTTTTGAAGATGGTATTGGATTCCATGATGGATCGTGTCTTAATATACTAATTTTTGACAGGAACAACGCTAAACTCGAATTTGTACTACACACTTCGCCGCGTGCGGCAGAACTCTAGCGTAGAGCGGATTATTTTTCGCCTTACATGCGAATTAGTCACACTGACTGAGTACTGGACTTGCCATGGTAAGTCATTAGGTTTTCTGAGATACATAACCACATCTGTTCGTAAGCTACCAATCTGTCAACAGAGCGTAGATCTTACCTAAACTAGTCGATATCGTTTCGAAGGAAACGCTTCCTTGTAGGTCACTACGCCACAAGCGGAAAGGATGGAAAGGACCCTGGCTCAGTTCTGGACCTCCAGATTTTACTTGGTGCTTTCTACATTAAGCATAGCTGGTTATCAATTGTCAGCAGCGCCTAGATGCTGCGTGCTCGTAAGCAAGATTATGCTTTTCATGTCAGTGCTATTATCGTGGAAACCCTTGAATATGTGTAGACGATCGCTTGATTGGCAAAAGATCACCGTCGATCGCATAATCCACGATGAACAGGACGTCAGTAATAGAGACCATATTTTCGCGCAAAATTCGCTGTTCGACCGCTTTGCTCTCCTTTTACCGCTCCGACAATCTAAATCTTAGTTAATGGATTCCGAACTAGAGTGATATGTCATTCAGCGACATGCTGAGCGAATACGATACGGGGAATATTAGAGCACTGTGGCAATTACATTTTGAGTGTGGACAAGTGCTTTGCCGCTCTTGACACCCGAAATATCACTAGTTCCGTTATGGCTAGCCTGACTAAACCACACGCACAATGACGTCGTGCCATTCCTAATGCTCACGCTTAAATCCACTTCCATTTGGCCAAAGCTCGGTATCGGTTATTGCGCAAGGCCTAAAGCAGCTCACAGTACTTGGACCTTGTCCCGGGTCGGGTTGCGATGGCCCCAACAACAGGGAGCCTGGAGTCACTGTGACCACAGGAATATCTTCAGAACACCGTTCTCTATTCCTCTTAAAGCTCATGTTGGAATTACACTGTCCTATCGATTGCCAATAGAACAGCGATTGAATATAGGATTTCGCCCGCGCAGTTTCATTCGATATATCGCGAACAACTAGAGGACACATCAAAATCTACAGTGAGTGTTCCGAAGATGCAAAACACCACTCACCCGTCTCCTCCCTTCAAGAAGATGAAAGAAGAAGTTACCATGTACCTGAGACGGCTAGTTTCTCCATGCCGGAATCGCTCTCCCTTGGGATTTCAGACGCTCATGACATTGCTCGCTTCAGACGTGTAGTGCTCGGGATCAACGATCTCAGCATGAACATCTGAGGTCAAAATTTCCTTACCTTGGTCGCGATCGGACTGTGAATGATGCTTAAACATGTTCCGTGGCGTTCGAAACTGAAAATATGTCTCATTTATGCGGAACCTTATACGTAGAGACCAGTTTTGAACCACTCTTCAACGGAGCTCCGTCAAATTTTATATTCACCTTCTCCTGAGACCATGTTCCTCTTTCAACGGGAACTTTTCTGTTGGAGCTTTATGGCTTCGGCCTACTTCCATTTTTTTGTTGGCCATTTCAATCACCGTTTGAGCTCGATAAAGTCGGAGCAATCTCTCCATTTCAAGGCTGGGCGACGTAGACAAACACAGCAGATGCGTCAGATTTAGCCAAGGAAATGCGTTCGTGTCGAAGCGATGAAATTATCGCTCGTCAAAATTTTGCCTTTTTCTTTGACCCACGAAGCAATGGCTGTTTTTACCATTGAACTATTTATGTCTATGAGGGTCGCACTCCTTCCCGATTCAAGGCTAGTGTCAGCCTTTCATTGCCGCTCACTGACCCTGCTTAGTCGCCACTGGGGTTCAGAAGGACGGCCTAAATCTCCATCAATGTCGGAAAGCCGGCGACGGCATACCGGAGCCTGGATACTCGCACCTGACTAACGATTGCTATCGTGCTTGTATGAAGGAGATCTCATGCCTTCCAGCCGGCGAGGATTGCACCAATCAGTACTCCTTCAACGTAGATCACCCATTGAGCCAACGCGACATAGCTGAACTCGGCGTTTACCCAGGCTCCAGGAAACATGGAGGCAACAGCCACCTCCTTGACGTGGTTGCGCTTCCGCTTCGCTGCGGCCAAGGAAGCCCGACGCTTGCAACATGTGGGTCGGTGACACCACCCTACAAGATTGCAGAATGATCGGCCATTGCCCGAGGAGTCGTCCCATTGCGCCTGTGAGGCACCAGCTTTGCCTTCGACTTCCGAGAAAAAGCCCAGGAGAACTGCCCCGGCTTGGTACACATACATGTGAGTCAGAGGATTTCTTCAGTGCGCATCTGTGATCGCAAAGAGCCAACTTTCATTTGTCATCTTAACGCAGAGACTATCATCGAATCGCAATTTCTGCGAGTTCTTGATGCTGGAGTTCTCCGGACTGCTCGGGCTCCGTATTTGTTTCGCGACCGGCGGCGAGCAGTAATGTGGTTTCGTTGATAGCCTTGCCGCCAGAGAGAGTCACTTCAAAGGAATCAATGCCTATTTTGCGGAACGACATATCGAACAAGGACAGATGTACTACAACCCCTCTAGCTTCAAGAGCGTTTTGAACTCGCTTTCCCGCCTCTCACCCAAACTTAGGAAGAAGACCAGAACTTGAGCAACCAAATAGATCATTTCCTTGGAAATTTGCTGATGTCCTATCTCTAATGTAGTGCTCTTTGACTATTCGAAGTGATTAGGTGAAAATTCAAAATCAAAAAGAGTATATTGCTAATGCATAGAAGGCGGCTGGAACGCAGAAAGCTCACATGTCGACTCCGACAACCTCATCCCTTCCATCATCGAAGCCGAAATCGACCACGTTTTTGAACGCTGCGGCTTTATTCTCAATTGCCCTGGCGGGAAGAGCTGGTCACAGGTATACAAGGTAGTCACGTACGTGGGCAGATTTGCAGGCTGCGCATGAGAAGGTCGTTCATAATCTGAAGAAGTGGACGCCGGGAAATAATCCGCTTTAGACGGAGCTAGGTTACTAGAGTTAGCATTGAAGGGATGAGATTTGAGGTTGATGTGGAAGCATATTATCCTAAGCAAGAACATTCCTCAGTGCAGCACAATGCATTTGTATTCGGCCAAACTCCATTCGAAGAATGAACTGCATGAATGGTGGTACATTAAAAGGCAGATTATATGTTGATAAAACAAGTCATTTGAGATTTATGAGAATTTTCGTTTTCACTAAAACCATGATTCAACAGATGACTGAGAGACGTCTATCTCCAAGGCTTGTGATTGTGATCGATACATTGAGGGAGAAATAATACCTATCTTCTGATTTGACCTATTCGTGCTATAATTTATCACTAGATGGAAGAAGGAGAAATATCTCTATTTCTTGTGCCTCGCTCTTCTGGTTTGAATACTAGCCGTGCATGACTAGGATTTCAAGATCGTGCTAGTCACGAATCACACTTGTCTGTATTCTTCATTGCATCAACCTTATCTCGCATCGATTTGAATTGTTGGGCCATCTCCTCAGAAGTTCGGCTGCTCCGAGGAACATTTACACCCTTCAACACTGCCGGGCGCTCGCCGATCCTCTTCATCCATTTGTCCAACCCAGGCCATTGGCCAACATCTATATCCAGAAGCAGAAAAGCAGACCTCAACCAGGCATAACTTGCAATGTCAGAGATGGTGTACTTATCGCCCGCCAACCAATCGTGGGTGTTCAACCGAGATTCCAGCACATCGAACAGTCGTTTTGCTTCGTTAACATATCTGTTTATGCCGTAAGCAGAGTAAACCCCTGCCATCGCTCTGAAATGTTCCGCTTGTCCCTAACATAGTTGATCAGCTTAAGGAATATTATCTTCGCATCGAAATACTCGCTAGCGCTGGGCCAAGGCCGCTCATTTGCCACATCAGCCACGACACCATTTCGTGATACTCTCGGCTGCCGTGGGAATAGCTGATCTTGTGATCCTTATCATAGTGATCGGTCAGATAGAGCATAATAGAACCGCTTTCGAATATATTCAATTCACCATCCTTCAAGGCCGGAATACGTCCATTAGGATTGAGAGCAAGAAACCAATTTTCTTTTTGGATATTTTTGGCGATATCAACGGCTTCGGTCTTGTATTGAATGCCGAGCTCTTCTAGTGTGATGGAAGCTTTATGACCGTTGGGCGTTCCCCAGGTGTATAAAGTCAGGTGGTGATATGGTGGTGGGTCAGACATCTTGCCGTAATAAGGAGAGAAGGAGGTTGAAAGTGATGCTCTATAAGCCTGTTGTATGCTCTTTAAGCCCGTAGACTGTCGGATTGTAGAGCGACAAGTCGGGCCGGAAAGATACATGGTAGGAATGAGGACCGTTGGATAAACAGAAAATAAACTCCCGATGATGCAAGGACTACTCCACAACCTTCGTACAGCAGTAGCTTAGGAAACAAATATCGTTAGGTACATCAGGTAAATATTCTTAGAAGGGTATGCGAGTGTAACGGAGGTACGCCACAGTGATGTTACGAATTTTCCAATCAAGCCGTCGGATTGGCTGGCGAAGCTCTACCGTCAACTTTTCTTCCAGTGCAGCTTAATAATTTTACTCGTAAGCATCAGGAAGGTTTCAAACTCCTTTAGTCCGTGTTTTACTTGTGGATGTGTTTTCGGAAATCTGTCTTCAGATTGACGACAGAGCTTCAGTCGCGGTTCAATGTTTCATTCAAGTTCAGAGATTCCGCAGATCATCCGGCACCTGTCCCATCCGGCCAACGTCCTCAACGCCTAGTTTTCCGCTGTAGAGGCTCATTTCTTCAAGTGTATAAACGGCAATGGATGTGATCACAATCTGCGATAGGGACAGAGAAGTCTAGTGCTTGTGATACTGATGTTACGGTGGGGTTTAAGCAGGTCTCACCCGACTAAGAAGCCGTGCCACCCTATCAAAGTTGGTTGAAGGAGTCCAGAAAGCAGCTGCGCGATGTGAGGCGATTCCATACCTCCACTTTGATACAGCGGGGCTGTCGTCCGTCCTTAACCGGTGGCTCCGCGAGCTTCGCCTGCTTCGGGATTCGATTTCTCCGAGGGGGCTCGCCGGCATCGAATCGTTCTAGGCCAAACAACAATGACTCTCTACCGGAGGATAGAGTATTAGAACTCGTCCGATGAAAGGACTATTACATGTGGCTGTATGAGAACTCATGCGCCGTTTACCTCGAAACTAGTCTCCGTTCCTGACCATTATTAACAACCGAGAAGCTGATCTAAGAAGCTTCCCTTAGCCCCTGAAAATGATTCCGTAATCCTGGCAACAACGCGAAGCTACCCATCATTCACCCCTCTCATTTTAGTAAGCTGGGAGGCCCACCTTGCGATGCTGACACGCTCTTTTCCTCGTTCTCATTGATATCCTGACGAGTCACATTTCCACCAGTCAGCTGTAAACATCACGCGTCTTTGCATCATTACTTTCAGCTGACCAGATCTTGATAAAAAGTCCGTTCCAGCTAAGATAAACTGCGTCCTAAACCGTAAATTTTGAGCTGAACTTTCTGAATAGGCTTTCCAGGTTCGAATCGCTCTTCTCTGTATCCTTTCGGCGGACTAATCTTCGACTTCTTTCGATTGCCCACTCCCACCTCCACAAGTGTTTCGTTGGTCAAATTCAAGGTGACGCTAACTTACAGCTTTCGAGGGCGCAAATTGAGAAGCGAAGACGGTGGTTCGTATGGGGGCGGGAAAGTACAAGAGACCGTACGCCTCCTGTATTTGACTAGGAACGCTCGTAATCGTGATTTCCTTTAGCAATACGCTCAAAGATCAAGAAAATCCAGCTATAAACTTGTCCTAGTCTGCTAGATATGAGCATGATCCCCCAGCTGAACTTCGCTATCATGGAGAATGAGCTGTGTATTTCCTGACTGTCTATGGACATATTTTCGACCCGCGGGAGATTTGAGAGGGTGGTCAAATGCCGCTACAAGCGATAAGGTCTCGAAAGTCATCAGGGCAAGATGTGCGCGGAAAAGGCTATGGTGCGAGGCAATTACAGGGTAAGCTCAAGATTAAAAACCGAAGAGCCAAAAACAGCAATTCGAAGTTGCGTGGGAGCTCCTTAATACCCCTGCAACAAGATATCCTGATACGCTAAGAGTGCTACCGACGACAACGTCCAACGAGCTCACGTATGAGTACACATTCGGAGGAGACAGACAAAAGGAGCTATTGATCGACCAGATAAACCATTGCCCAGTGTTATACTATATACGGCAAGAATAGTCTGATGGGCTTGGCCTCGTACTCAGGGTATACAAGCAATAGAGAGCGCTAACAACTAATGAGTATTGCTCTCGCAAATGGCTCGGCCACGCCGGCCCAGAGTAAGCGACAGGGAAGTGAGGAGAAACTTCCAGTCCTCGCAAGGCGGAGACTGGGACTCGGACCATATCATTGCTGTAAACAGAAGTAGCTTCGAGCCCCGATTGCAGTGAGCACCAAGTTGGTCTCTCACTACCGCGTTAAGTGGCTATTCCCACCGCGGTAGAACGTCGCCATACCACCTGAGAACATATCACTACGATCGAATGTGAGTTTAGTTGGACCCTAAATCCCCTAAATCTCCTAGTGATTACTATACCTGGTTTTCCCCAGCGTCGTTAAATGGTAATTTATCGCGCTGAGCCGCCCATCCATCGACGTATGTAGTACCCAACGCCCGGCTCGAAATGACAATTTAGCCGGGCTCACTTAAGGTCCTCAATTTCGATCTTGGCATGGCAGCGGGTGCGTCCAATCGTTTCACAGGATCCCCACCACCGCCTATTGAAGGAGTACGCAACCTTGCAGATTCCAGTATCTCTTCCTAAATTTAACCTCGACGACATCTATGAAGTACGAGTACTCAGAAATCAATCGTCTCTCTTCTTACGGGGCGTATTTTCACCTTGAAAACAAAGGTGCGATCAAATAACGAACGCAGAGAGACGGCTTGGCTGGGTGCAACGAGTGACGAGTGGTGGGTGCATGCCAGACTTTCAAGGGGTCCATCACCTACACACTTTTCGGCTCTTGGACTACCTCCATTTCTGCCAACTCTGGTCGAATCGTAGCCTCAATTTCTTGTCTTCACTTTCGGCTGGGTCAAAGCAGCAATAACGACTGGCAGCACGCTGACGATCTCGCCGAGACCGGCATAGGCAGGTGGGATACGGAATCTGACAAACGCACCGGCCGCGAGCAAGATTGCAAGCATGTTATACACGGCTGACCAGATGAAGTTGAAAGTGATGCGTCGGAAAGCAGCCTTCGACACATCGAGCAAATTGACTACGCCGTCAAGGTTGCGGAGGAGGATAACGTCGGCCGTGGCACGGGTCACGTCCGAGGAGGATTCGATCTGGACGCCGACGTTGGCCTGAGCCACGGCAACCGCATCATTGGTACCGTCCCCACAGAACAATGTGATCTTTCCCGCATCCATAAGTGCGCGAATATATTCCTGTTTCTGCGCCGGACTGCTTTCGAAAGCGACGTTCTGCAGAGGGATAGTCATCTCAGCGGCTACGTTCTCCACCACTCGGCGTGCGTCGCCACTGACTAAGTGGACGGCGATGCTACGGCGATGAAGCTCTTGAATGACTGAAGTTGCACCATTACGGACCCTCGATTTCAAGCCAAAGATTGCAATTAGCTCATCATCGATCGTCGCGAAGAGCATGGTCAACCCCCGTGCTGTGTGGCCGAGCACCTGAGATCTTTGACTGACCTTGAGCCATTTAGCGTTGCCAGCTCGAATCACCGCGCCTTGCCATTCACCTCTGACTCCGCAGCCAGGAATGGACGCAATGCCCTCCATGTCGACTCCACATACTTGCTGCATTTCGAGTGCTTGGGCAACAGCTTCAGATACCGGGTGCTTGTTGCCTTTTGCTAATGTCATGATCAACGAGAGTATTCTGTCCTTGTCAAATTTTTCATTAGGGAAAAGTTCCTCCTCCACAAGTTCGAGATCTGGCTCAGTGAGGGTTCCCGTTTTGTCAAAGACAACATCGGTGACCCGGAAGCCGCGCTCGATAACATCTGCAGTTTTGATTATTATGCCCCCGCGGGCAGCCACGCCGCCAGCAACCACGAGAACCATTGGCACTGCCAGACCAAGCGCGCAGGGACAACTGATGGCCAGCACAGCTATGCAATAGCCGATCGCTATTCCAATAGCTTCGCCAGCAGGCTGATCACGGATTTTCAAGCCGATCAACAGCCAAACTATGAATACGACGAGTGCTGCTGCACATACAACTGGTATAAAGTATCCGGCGACCTTATCAGCTAGGTCTTGAATGTGAGGTCTGAAGCTCTGCGCTTGCTCCACCAGGCTTGCAATATCGGTGATGGTGTTTTTCCCAGGCAAGCGAGACACGCGTGCTGTCAATCTTCCGCCGCCATTGAGGGTGCCCGAAACCAACGGGCTCCCCGTAGTCTTGAAAATCGGCAAGCTCTCTCCCGTGAGCATGGACTCGTCCACCTCACTGGTTCCGTCAAGCACATCGGCATCTGTGGCTATCTTCGAATAAGGCAAGATTGCGATGGTGTCCCCGTATTGAAGCAATCGGGCATCGATTTCAGCAATAGCGCCGGTTCTTGGATTGATGAGCATGGCTGTCAACGTTTGTAAAGACCTCAGAGAAACCGCTTTCACTGCTCGCTTGCGAGCCCACGCAGCAAGAAGTCGGCCAAATAGCACCAGCGAGATCAGCAGGGTACTCGTCTCAAAGAATGGTTTGGTCTCCAACTCGATGTTGGCAAAGAAGAGACCAGCTCCTACGAATGAATAGACATACGCAGCTGTAATGCTAATGACCACCAACATGTCCATTTCAACGACCTTGTTGTATATCAAGGACGAGATGGCCGGGATATAGAACGCCGGTATTGCAATTGCTTGAACCATTGTGGCCAAGACAATTGCCACAACCAAGCTGGTATGCTCAGAAACGCTAGTTGGTTTTCCCCATTCAAGGGCAACGACTGGCGCCGTCAAGATGAAGGCTGCGGTGGTCAATGTGAACACTCGAATGAGCCTACGTTTTCCTTCATCGAGGTGGGTATCACCGTGCGGAGCCGCAAGTTGTGCATCGATGCCCGCGAGAATTTCTCTAGCACCAATAGTGCACGGATCATAACTGATCACATATGTGGTCTTGGAGAGTTGCTCACATCGTTCGACACCACGAGGTAGATTGTCCCGAAGGACACTCGCTGTCGTCGCACTCATCTTGACAACGATAGTCTGGATATCGGACGAGAAATGTGTCAGTTTATATCCGGTGGCTCGCTGGGCGCTACGAATTACTTGATTGAGCTCGTTCATATTGGTGTCCAGGTCGAATTCGGCAGTACCAGTTACAAAAGTGACTTTGACATTGTGAGTTCCCTGGACAGCTCGAATTGCTCGGGTCAGGTTATTTGCGCATCCCGAACAGTCCATTCCGGTGACATTGAGAAGAATATGGGATCGGCCTCCCGCCTTCTCAGTATCGATCAATGCGGTATTGCGCACAGGAGCACGCTCGACTTCGATCTCATCGAGACTATCGTAGCTGTCACAGCATTTGATCTTGGCCTTTGCTGCTGACAATGCCTTTGGCGAATTCTTGTGGCGTCGATTGCGCGTCAACATAGTTCCGTGCTCTTTCATGTTCAGATGATGGCTGTGGCGCGGACCGGAAATGGTCAGACTGGAGCCCACAAGCTGCCCCTGGAAAGATTGGATCGTGCCAGCGGAAGCCAGGATGGTTCGACAGATGCATCGGGCCGAGTCGAGGTACGTGGAATATTCCTGCATGGCAGCAGCGAGATGGGCATTACAAGGTTTGTCAAGGTGCTCTCCATCTTTGTCATGAGTGTGCTCGTGGTCTGAGCTAATGTGAACATCTGCACTGGTCTTCAATCCGTGACCGTGATAGTGATTGGCCAGTACATGAGGATGCTCGCGTTCGGGAACCCGATCGTGATCATGGTCGCAGCAATGGTCTTGCCCAAGTGTTTCATCCCGCTCGTGACTAGTGGTGATTGTGGAGCGGCTGTCTTGCTCGTCAGCGCAGGCCATGGAGCACTCGATTGCAGCAGCAGTTTCAATGCAATTCTCTGCGCACTACTGTGAGTGAAACATCTCAGGAGGGCCTGATAATCACTCACCATCGCACTTGTCGTCCTCATTGCACTGCTCGATGACACCTTGATTCACGTCTACTTCTCCTTGAGCGGGGTCCAATCGACTACCAAAGGAATGACGATGGGCGGATTGCGATGGTTCTGCCGCCGAACCACTGCAGCAGTTACCGGTGCGGTCAGGTTTCGGGCCACAGCAAGAAGGGCCCATACTGAAGGAAATGGTATTGAGTGTTCTTTTTGCAAGTTGGCAGCAAAAGTGGGATTGTGGTAGGGGTTTTGAATCAAGTGTGCAGAGCGATGCTTTTCGTCGAATAACTCTCAAGGCCCAAACCCCCACTCGACAGTTTTAAACGAAGTGTGCGCAGACCACGTGGTATTCCACTTCACTCTCCACCAAGATTATAACGAGACCGCAGTTGACGCAATGGAGTGTTACACCGCCTTGCCGGGTAATGACATCCCTGTCGACAAAGGTGTGAGAGGGCAAGCGCCAGTCTGAATTATTGCACAGACTCTCGCTGTTCAAGCAAAGGCAATGATTGGTATGCGGGAAATCGCTTATGGCTCCGGTGAGCGATATTGTTTTACCTAATTCAAGAACCAGAGAACATGCACCTGACACCCCTCTTTGCTGGCGAAATCGGAGAAGCGGGCGAATCTTCGTGTTCAATATATCCAGGCCGAGCCCGACCTAGTTTGCTCGTTAACGCCCATGCCATCACGTGATGGCGGCTGGTAATGTCGATTTCAAGAAGTACTTCTACTTGAAGTACTGCATTGAGCCGCAATAATTGCTTTGGCCCGGTTCTGGACCCTGGTGCACCCATCTCCTCAGCACAGTTTGTTATTACGAGTTACGAGGCATGTGCAATGGCTACGTCTGCCAAAGCTGGGGTCTCTCTCGTCGGCTTAGAGATTGCCTGAAATTTCCGTGCAATTGATCCTGGCGATGTATAGTAGTGGGAGGATAACAAGAGCAATGCAGGCTGGAAGAAATGCAGGCTTTGGTACTTGTTCTCCTCAAGTTGAGAGTGGCTTGGCTTTTCAGAGCGTGTGGTTCTTTGACACTCGGAATAGTAGTTAAGGGGTATATGCGTGTCAATCACCACTTATGTTGAAGAAGCAGGACTATCGATTCATTTGACAAGTCCAATAGTACTGTAGGCAGGCTTTGGTAGCTGCCAGTTTCTATGCCTGGAGAGGGAAGCGATGACGAACAGCAGGAAACCACGCAAGCGAAAAACGAGTGAAGTGGCCACAAGTGCCTTTGCACGATGCAAGCCAGTGGCGGTCTTCCATCAGACTGTGATGGAGTGCTTTTTTTCGCTCCCTTTCCTTTCTCAAGGCCTGAGGCATAGTATCCAGCCAGATTGCCTCGGTAGTGGAATTAATAGTAGCATATTGGCGGCTTCGTGGCTTTTCGAGGAGAAAATGGCGTCCGAGGCCTGAAAGATCCAGATTTACACACAGTGCAGGGACCAATCAATGCCTGTGGCACTCATCCATAAATACCTTCGTCTGCAGGCCTTATTGTGGTCTCTTCTGTTGTTCAAGTTTGGAATTGGTGAGAGGGCTGTTTGCGCCCAGAACGCGGGATTATCCTGCACGGATTTAAGTCCCGCCCATGATAGAACCCGCTGTCAACCAGTTGACCAGCCACACATGGCCGGTTTTATTACTTGATTGATACACCTCATGATAACTTCTATTATCCAAGCGAATATTTGTATTTGTCACTTGTGAGTATATCTACGCGGGCTTGGAATCGCGTCCATTGTCCTCGCGGCGGCGACAACCGCTCTGGTGGTACGTCCTGATTCCGACCGGTGACATCGCTCCTCGTGTTGCTCATCCCTACTGTAAGGCCCAGACCGTAACCATATTCGCGTCCGCGATTGTTCTCAGAAGCCTTGCGTCTAGGGGAGTTCGCATATGCTTTCAAAGTCATTCCACATGCTCCAGCAGATTTCTCAGGATACATAGTACGAGTCGTCCTTCTTACGCCACGCTCCTCCTATCATTGTCTAGAGCCGCAATGATATCCACGATGGCGTCTTCCTTCCGACTTGTGAACGCATGAGCAGCTGGACCCGGGTCATTCAATAAGAAGACCTCCCTCCAGCGATCCGGATGTGTAACTTCGAGAACTGTTCCGGCTGGGAACTTCTGGTCGTCGAAGCATACCGCCATCATTCCACGGCCAATCTCATCCGGAGACGATAACTTGTCCTTCTCCGGATCTACGAATCGGATCGCCTCAGGATGGTCGTACATCAAGGGCGACATGGTGGGACCGGGGGCAACGGCGACGACCCGAATGCCTTCCATCGACTGCAGCTGTCCCATGCAGCGGGCGAAGTTGCTGATGCCTTGTTTGGCTGCGCCGTAGAGAGGGGTCAAGATGCTGGATTTCTGTGCTCCGGTACTCGATACGAGCACGACTCGGCCTGGTTGTTTCGCTTGGACCCACTTTCGGATAGCGATACGGGACATTTTGATGGGGTGTTCTAGGTTAATGCGCAGGATCTTGTAGAAGGAGTCGTCTTTGTCGTTCCAGAAGTTTGAGACGGACTTGGGAAGGGAGAGTTTAGCACTGCATTCCAATGGGAGACGGGAAAGGAGGGAGTCATACTGGCTCGTAAACTCCTGCCCCTGGGCAAAGCACGTGAGGCAACCCCCCAAACTCTTGACTGTAGACATCGAAGGCCCTCTCAAGTTGCTTCCAATCGGTAACGTCTGTTTTGGAAAAGACAATTCTTGCATGAGCTGAACCATTTGTGCCACTGCTTTTGATTGAATCCAACCATGCGGTCGCTTCATGGTGGAGAGCAATGTCACAGATCAATACATTGGAGCCGGCTTGGTACAGATGCTTGACGAATGAAAGACATATCCCTGGGTTGGTCAATAAGGGAGATGAGTATTGTGAGAGATCATGGCTTTACCAGAGCCACCACCGGTGACTATTGCTCCTTTCCCAGTCAGGTCTGGTTGAGACATTTCTTGGGGTTTGTGTTGGTTAAGGAAAGCTTCGACTCTTACTGCCATCCTTACCTTTCGTCCGTACCCTGGGCTTTCATATATCGACACTGCCCACAACAGAGCCGGTCCTTTGCCATGCCAATTCGGGTTGAATTCCCCGCATTGTCCCACAAGCCAATGCATTCATCCACCGAGTCGACATAGCCGGCTGTTCATGCCGTTTGCAGTTTTGATTACCGTGATAGCCGGGGGCGACAAGCACGTGATTGAAAAATGCTAGGGCAGATCATAAATCCTTTGAGAGGTAAGTATAGAAATGCTCGACAGTAGTAGCAGGAGAGGAGCCCTCCACGATCTCGATCTCATCTTGCCTTGCATGGGAATGATCTCAAAGATCGGATCGACGATCGGACCGGATCATGGGTAGCAATAATAGTAGTTCTCGCAATCACAACAACAGGATTGAGTTGTAAGACCAGTCATCCATTGTGATGTTGTTGATCGTCCTCCGGTGGACCGCATTCTCACAGGTCTTCAAAGCTTGCGGGGGCAAAAGAAAGAGCAGTATGGCTTGTTGGCCCGCCATACTCCTCTTTGTGGGCACTTGTTGTGTAAACATGTTATGTATTATTGTCGATGGGCCTTAGTATACCGGATTCTCGGTGGTACTCAACGCTCGTGGAGGCAAAAGGGAGGCATGGCCAGGAGTGGGTGCGCACTTCAACCAAACTCCTCTTTATGGATACTTGGAGTTGTAAATATGCTGTGTGTTGTTGTCGATTATCGTTAGTATACTGGATTCTTACTGGTACCAAAAAGCCGTTGGGCATCCGAAGAACGTTATATACAGTTTCCGTGAACGTTGTTGTGGTTGCTGGGGCGACGCGTCACGTGGGGCAGGAAAATCATCATAATTCCATTTGTGGTTCTGCGCCTGATTGACTGCATCCAAGTCCACATTATGTCCAACAGTCTGGAACACCACAACCATACGTTTCGAAGGCGATCCAGCCCTCACAGTATCCGTACTATAGCATTCATAACAGCGCGCGGCTGTTCATCTCTTTGACGCCTTTTTCGCCTTTTGCCCCAGTTATGCTCCACCACACGCGTCCATGAAAAGTTTCGCGAGTCGCATCAACACCGCAGTCTCCCCTACATATACTGGACTTTCCCCTCCACGAGGACTTCCACCTTTTCCCATACTCGTACGCATTCCAACTTGACTCTCTATACTGCTCGATCAAGCATACTCATAGCTCAAACGCAATCTCATTCTCACTGCTCACACCCATTACTGATTCTCATTGCTCGCACCTCATACCTTTACACTTGCACACACTTGCACACACCACTTTGAACAACCTGAACAGACTTGAACAAACCTGAAAATCTTCCACAACTTCAACTCAATTACCAACACACCCGTCCTACAAGATGGACCCGTGGTTGGAGTTGGCTGATGAGGAATGGGTCTCCCAAAAAGGCTCATCATCCCCACCTCACTCAAGCTCTTCGCCATCAGGGTCTCGCTCACCACCCCTCCGCCGCAAACGTGGCAGCATCTCACTTTCAGGCTCGGAAAGCAGCATCCCACACATTACTAGCAACATGCGTAAGGATCTGCCTTCTCCTAGCGGGCACCTCAACTTGCGCTCCTCCCGTGGCAGAGCTGCCCAGGCTGCCCAGGCTGCCCGTGCTGCCCGTGCTGCTTTGCAAAAAAGCTCTGCTTCAACTCTGAACGCTCTTGGCTCTGCCGAGATGCAGAGACAACCCAGTACAACGACCAACAACTCTTCAAGCGTGTTATCTGATTCTCAGAATTCAGTACTACGCCACTCTGTGCGTGAGCCTCCATCAAATGCTGAGACACCTGAGTGGAAAAAGAGACTGGAAAAGGGAGAAGAGCTCACTAGCGATGGATTCGATCTCTTCTCCCCATCCAAACTGGAAGGTGTTTTCAAGGAGCGAACTCCCACCCGTGTTCACTTCGAGGACGAGCTTGACAAGCCCGATGAAAAGTCTCGAAGACCATTCACACTCCCAGCAGCGCGCAACTCCTCACAACAGTTCAGCAGCTTCCGTTCTGCAAGACAACGTGCGAATGACTTGGAAGTCGTCCACGAGGAAGATGAGGAAGCCGTTTCTCTTTCTTTCGTGCGAAAACGACCTGTTGATCCCAACTCATCATCTCTAAGTCCTTCTAGCAGCGTTTACCCAATGAAGGCTTCATCCTTCCGTGACCCTAGATGGAGAACCACCAGCGGCCAAGAAGAGATGAAGAATGAAACAATCAGCCCTATCACTATGTCGAAGCAAGATTTGATCTGTGAAGCTGCTGTTTTCCAGACACTCAATTCTCTCAAACAGGACGTTGAGCGACTCGAAGCGAAGATAGGAATCGCGGCTCCCAGTACAGATGCTCGTCCTTCATCTAGCTCTAGCGACAAGGAGATCAGCTATGGTCATATCAGTCCACCAACTGACCAAGACATAACGTCTTCGTCGCTACCAGATGACCTTTCCATGGGTACTGAAGGTTTCTCAACCTACAAGGCCATCCAGAACCACAAGAAGGCCATGCTTGCTGCAAGTGACGTCTCTACACTTGGACAAGATGTCAGCTCCAATGACGAGTCCTCCCAACTTGTCTCTTCACATTGTGCTCCCATCCGCATCAATGTCTCTGGAGGCCGTGCCTCAATTACCATCAACAGCTCGCCGCCACGGTATTCACGCCTAAGCGATGATAACATTGATCACGGTCACAGCAGCAAAAGTGCACCGGGCACCCCAGCAGATACAAGTATCATCCATCATCTTGACGCACATATCAACAGTTCCCCACCACAGCACTCAGAACTGCGAGATGGTAACATCGACTCCAGCCACAGCAGCAAAGGTGCACCTGACACTCCAGTAGATGCAAGCGTCATCCGTCACGTAGATGCGCGTGTCAACAGCTCTCCACCACCGCATTTACGACTGAGCGATGGTAAAATCGATCTCAGTCACAGCAGCAAAAGTGCACCTGAAACCCCAGCATATGCACGTGTCAAGCCTTCACCATCTGGAAGTCCTTTAAAGCTGTTCGGAAATCGCGACACATACACTAACAATAAGTTGAACCGCATCCTGAGCAAATTTGAGGAAGACCCAGACAGTACGTTTGACGACCTCGGCGCTAAGCTCGCCGCAAAGGCCGCAAAGGCAGATGCTGCAATCAATGCGAGTCAGTTTGGTGATGGTGCTTTGGATGATTTTACTTTCGAAAAAGAGGTTCCTCGACCCTCGTTGAACTTGCCAGAGTTTATGAACCCAAATGTTCGCGTCTACAGAGCTCCAGAGCCAAACGTTGTTAGTGCCGCAATGGCTGCTCTTCTAAAGGACTCTACAGATGCAATAGGGTTCAAAGTCGATGTGTCACCGGAGCAAGTCGCTGCAGCTCCAAAAATTGACAGAACGACCACAAAGAGGCGTAAGACGCTTCGAGATGGTCAGATTTCTGTCAAAAACCAAAACATCGAGGTCCAGGTGGCAGCACCGACCACCAAGCCCACACATGACATGGAGTACGACTCCGACTCATCAAAGGAGCCTTTCGAGAGGCCGCCGTCAAGAGAAGGCAGCCGTCGTCCGCGTCGAAACCGGAATCCTAACATTTCTAAACACACTCCTGAGGTCGCAAGCTTCCTCAACAAATTCAGGGAACCTTCCGGTTCAGACTTTAGGGATGTGCTCCTGGAGACCGCCCCTGAAGCTAAGCTTCCAGAAATCAAGCTCCCTGAAGTCGAAGCCAAACTCCCTGAACGACAGGAGGCCGCCGACATCACCGACATGAGTGTAGTGCCCGTGTCAAAACCAGCTATCCAAGTGACACCAGCTCCAAAGGCAAGCATCCTGTCCTTGACTCCCCTTTCGGAGTTCACACTCCATCAAACTGATTCTGGCAAGAATCAAAGTTTTGTTCAAGAACGTCACCATCCTTCAGCACTCCGACAAGCGCATGGTTCTATGGCTCTCTCCGTTGATGCACTTGTGAAGGTCGTCACCGATGCTGTAGGTGATACCTTGTTTTGGGATAAGCTCCGAAAAATCAACATTGCACCAGGAAAGTTGGCATCCGTTCACAAGTTGAAGGAGTACCTTCCACGTGTTACAGAGGTTTCGCTTCCTGAGAACATGGTTGAGCATGTCGAAGGTCTGCCTGGTTGTGTCCGAACCTTGGACATGCACAACAACATGTTGAGCGACTTGACATCTTGGAGTCATTTGACTAATCTACAATATCTAGATGTGTCTGGTAACAAGCTTGAGAACCTCGATGGATTCTGCTCTTTGACACATCTTCGAAGTTTGAAGGCAAACAACAACCACATCACCAACATTACTGGCATTTTCAAACTCAGAGGCCTTCTCCATCTTGAGGTTCGTGACAACAAAATCTCAGCAGTCAATTTTTCAGAGGCCAAGCTACGTCGTTTAAGGACTTTGGATCTCAGCCACAATCAACTCAAAGAAGTCCTAAATCTCCACAAGCTTCAGGATCTACAGGAGGTTGATATTAGCCAAAACGCAATTGAGAAGTGGCTACCTGAGAAGTCAGCTCATCTCTATGGTCTCCGCAAACTCACAGCATCAAACAACATGTTGACAAGTATCAACTTGAAATCTATGCCTATGCTCAAGTGTTTGGATCTTGACTTCAATTCTATCAACGAGATTCCAGAATTGTCAGCTGCATTCCATCTCGAATTGTTGTCATTACGAGATCAAGCTGATGCTCCAAACATTGTTGATTTCATTTTATCAACTCCCAACGAATGCCGTCAAATTCGGCTTTCATCCAATACAGTAGTGGATGGCTCATTCACTCTACCGAGCCTGCCACACTACAACCTCCGAGCATTGGAGCTAGCAGCTTGTGGCATTTCAGATCTTCCAGAAAAGTTCGGATCATACTTCCCCAATTGTCGTCAACTGAACCTGAACTATAATGCCATCAAGGAGCTATCACCGCTCCGAGGCATGCACAAGCTGACACACATGTTTGCTGCACAAAACCGTATCTACAGAATGAGACGAACATGTGTCTTGCTGGGAAAACTCCCTGCTTTGCGAGAAATTGACATGCGCGAGAATCCCCTGACAGTAGGATTCTACTGCCCTGCGTCTATGGATGGCATCTCCCAGCCAGCCAGAGAAGACGCAACATACCGTCTACCCCTAGGGTCTCCAAAGAGCGACCCTAGCTGGCTCAAACGACTAGACGACACAACATCTATGAGAAGACGCGCCATGGAAGCGCTCCTGGCAGAAAACTGCAACAATCTCGTGCAGCTTGATGGCATGCAATTGCGTCGAACAGAATTAATGACCAAGAACGATAAAGAATGGACAAGACTTACGGAGCGAGGTGTCCTCGCTGTTCCATGCTTTGCATGATTGAATAAATGAATGAATGAACGGAATGAATTGATGAATGATGAATTGGATCGATGGGTATTGGTATAACAATGGGAATTGGTGGGTATTCGTTTTTGTATTACTACAAAGGAGATTGGTGGTTGCGGCATTATTAGCATTATTACCTCCTGTACTATTACTACTATGGGTTATGAAGAGAGAAACAGGGCTCTCGCTGCAACGCAGATGGTTGCGATTATTGGGATTAGCGAATAGAACATCGATACATTTTCACTCACACACAAACACACACTTTAAGATATTTCGTGCCGTAGACTTATGACTGGCGTGCTCGATCAATGACCCAAGATTCATCCGAGCAGGATGTGCAGAGTTAGATCAAACCATCAGAAGGGGACCAGAGAAGCACTCGTTACTCCTAGGCGGCTCCTTGGGAAGGGAAGGAAACTGTGCTAGGTGTAGTAAGAGTGGGTGTATGGCCAGTTGACATTGCTTATCCACTATGCAGACGGATTCTATCTACCGGCCATCGCGACCGTGACTTCTAACTGTCTGAGGCCAGGCCGGGAATCGAGAAGAATGATCCAATGCTGTGTGGTGCTAAACTAATTGTCTATTGCGAAGTCACGTCTCCCGCAGGGCTACAAATTCAACTGTGAGATGTGCTTTCTCGGTCCAAGGCTGAGAGGATATGGTAACCTGAATCATCGGCTCTTGACAAGATATTCAGGTAAGGCTGTCTCCCTGAACCTCCTATTTTTGCTTGCAAACTTGTTGTCGAGGCTTTTCTTCTCTGATAACGAGCATGGCCGCTCATGCACTTCTTGCATTTCTCTGTGGACGCTCTCCCTCTTTGGTTTCTGTCTCATCAAGTTCAGAAAGTGGAAAGCCGCGTTGAGCGCCTCGCGAGTCGTCTGAGTCCTTTCAGAATCTTATTTATCCGCCCTCGCAATCACTGTTGCCATTTCAGGGGCAGTTGCTCGTGCTGTTGTCAGTATCACCAAACTTGACGTGGCAATCACTTCTCCAATGACGCTAGCCTGTCCGTCCCAATTCATATGCAGCTTTAACCAAGCTAGAGATCATGTCATGTGCACTGAAGTGCCTATCAACTTCACAAGGTCGGAGTTCCATTGTTCTGACCATATTTTGGTGGGATATACAAGATCACGTACCAATTCCGCTTGTCCAAGCTTGAAGAAGCGACTATCTTTTCCAGCATGTTCGCGAACCCAGACAAGATATGACAGCGGCATTTCACGAGATTGGAAGAACAGCTAGATGTAGCCAATGAGTCTGTTCTGCCATACAGGCATATAGATTTTGTCGGCTAAAACCCAGCCAGTTATGAGAGCGAAGACTTCTTCGTAATTGTCTGCTGTAGGAACTGTTTTGAAAAAGACCCATCTGAGGAACAGGTCGGAGGCCAGACAATTGTCATCAGGGAGCTTCACTTCGTTGGTTTGTTGCTCCTCCAATTCGATACTGAGACACTTCTCAAAGAAACGACAGGATGTCATAAGCACCTTTTTTTTTTGGAATCGAGGAACTGTAGCGCTCCGGGTCGACGAGCACTGTCACAGAACTTGTTGACGCGAAACTGCGAATTGGTTGATTAGTGGTATTAGCTTGAAGACTGGATGATACGAATCAATCTGCCGGAGGCCTCTTAGTCAGCTCGACCAGATGAGGCAGCTCGGTCAGGCCACACGGATCTGTTGATGGAGACATTTGTAGGTCGAGAGACAGGTGTGTCTCACCCGCACTGTGACCCTGTCTTTGTTTCGAGGTTAGGAAACAGTGTAACTTGTGAGGGTAGGAAAGTTTGGTTGAAGTTCAGCAAGTTCCAAACGCAAATGAGCGAAGTCAGAGTAAATGAAAGCAACTTCGCTCAGAGTGAAGAGCAAGTGCCTCATTTCCAGTGAACTTTCATCTCGTGCGCTGCCTGTTTGTCTTCACTTGCGCTTCAATTGCCTACTGAGAACAATGATAAATGCCTCGGCGAAAGCGAGAGTAAGTTGGACTTGGGGCACTTGAGTCTTCCAGTCGTAAAGCAGCAGAGCGAGAATGGTAATTCACGCGACACGTTATGGGGGATAATAGAGCAAGTCAGGATAGAGCCCGCGAGCAGGACAACATGATCGATACTTATTCACGAGCACGATAAGGGATCTCGAGATCCCTATCGATCACATTTATTTCATAGCGTCGACAGCAACACTTTTGATGGCTGCAAGGGGAAGCTTGTAAGGCACATTCCATGCGGGCGTCAGGCTGCCTGCCAGCCACTTGTGCCTTCAAATGACCGTCTGACCAAATCCAGGGTCTCCTACTATTTTCTCACCCGGTCCTGGCTCCCTTTCCATGGCAATATCTCTCAATATAATGATCAGCTACAGAGCGAGCTTCAGCTTCACACCAGCGACTGTATCCCTGTCTGTCCTCGAGAAGGACTACCTCGTTCCCTCGGCTGATGTGTCCATGAACAATGGCTTCCAAGGGGAGACCAGCCTTGTCCCAGGCTCGCATTCCTGAGAGAGTTGGGATGGGACGCACGGCTTCTCCTCCAGTCCCAGTGAACCGCATCTTGGTTCCAAGCGATGGCTAGTTCTTGGACTTGGACATTCTACAGCACACTGGTATGAAGACACCAAGTGGAAATGATATATGAATGGAAATGTATGAAAGAGGCTTGTCATTTTGTCTCATCTTCCTCCCCAAAACACCAGTCCTTCTCAAATCATCGAGACGATACACTTCATCACACGCAAAAATCACCCCGTCCTAATATGACATATACCATCATATCATTGCTCTTGTTGGTTGTGCATTGTCAAGCTTCTCCTATACCCATACCAGTCCCAGCACCACAGGCAGTAACAGCAGCAATTGCACCCTCTGCACTACCGCCTCATGGCTGCTCAGCTTCATACCCCCGTGTATTTGGGATCGCGGTGGTCAACATTACAACTTTCGCCTTTCCGACCAGATTGATAGGGAGGCAGGTGACCAGCACTTCCCAGTGAGTATGCTCCTTAGTCCATGACTCCTCTCGAATGGAACGACGCTGCTCACGCATATTCCTCCAACAGGCCAGCACCGGTCCTGACAGTGGCACCAGTGTCTCAAATTGGCGATGGCCAGATCCAGGGCGGAATGCACACCGTGACCATGGCGCCAGTCACACAGATAGGCGATGGTCAGATCCAGAATCCTGCCATAACGACAGTGCCTCGCGCAGCCGTGCCGGGCACGGCTTCAGCAACCCCCCACGACGCAACGGGAGGAGGAGACGAGCACCCCTGCGGGCGTCCAACAGGGTCAAGTCCATCCCTTGGAGATTTGGATGTGGATCTGGAAGCTACCCCAGCCTTGCCATCGAGCACGATACTTACCGGCAATCCTCGCCTACCTGCTACCCGCTCTCCGACTCCCGCGCCAACCACATTCTCAATCTCCACCACGACATCCCAATTACCAAGCAGTACGGTCGCGAGCACCGCCCCAAAGCTCAGCCTGGTGTCCTGCCTGACGCAGTCGACGCTACAGCTGACCCTCTCGGACAACAACCTCTACGACGCGCTCAACCGCACCGGTTACATCGCGTCCAACTACCAATTCCAATTCGACGGGCCGCCCCAGTCCGGCGCCCTCTATACGAGCGGCTGGTCCGTTTGTCCTGTAGTCTCCGCCGACCCCGACGCCGACATCGGCACACCACCAGCAGCAACAACAGACAGCGGCCTGATGGCCCTCGCGCTCGGAAACTCGACTACCTTCTGGCAGTGCCTCAGCGGCGAGTTCTACAACCTCTACACCGAGAACTGGGCCGGGCAGTGTAGTCCCGTTGAGATCAGGGTCGTTGGTTTGGTGGACTGTGATGATGATGATGCTCGGTGATCGACGATCGGTGATGAAGACTGGTGTGGTGGATGGTTTGCACATGAACTTTTGGGATAGCGGATTCAATCCGCTTTGTGCGTATACACACTTTTCTACAGGTCTGTACGGTTGTTCTTTGCGCAGTAACGTGGTCTTGCTCCCCCCTTTTTGAGATTTCGCTATAGGTTACAATATCCAAAAAGTTACGCAAGAGATGATGGTGATGGATTGGTCCTAAGACTCAAGATTCTCTTCATTGATACAAGCAGATGATTAGTGCGGTGCCAGTCTTAGAGACAACAGCTGGTTTCATCGATATAACGAGCTACCCGTATAGCTAGCGAGCTGAATTCCATCCCATGTCCTATGGATGATTTTCCCAATCCCTAGCCCTTGCGTACAGTGCAGCAATGAAGCAGTACCGGAAATACAAACAAGAAAACACCCAGCCATAACTTGCTCAAAACCAAAACCCACTCTTCTTGTCCATAAGTATTTCATTTTGGACTCGTGAAACTTGTAACGTGTGCGCCATTGGAGATAACTCGATTCTTCTATAACGTGCATTGCCTCTGTCTAGTCCTGGCTCTGGATCTTGTTATCGCCCTTGACGACCTCGGAGTAGCTGGGCGGGGCGCCTGGCTCCTCACCCCCAGCACCTACACTTGGACCCTCGGCAGGCTGAGGAGGGGGGGGTGCTGGTCTGCTGCTTCCTTGGCCGTTGGAAGTGTTGCTGTAACCGCTATAGGTAGGCTTACTCTTTGTATTGGGAGGGGGCGGGGCGGGGCGGTTCTGGCCTTGGCCTTGCTGTTGTGCGGTGCCGTAGTCGAGTCGTCCTGGCTCATGTCGCACGTAGTAATATGTAACACGCTCGCCGTTCTCGGCGTTGGGGATCGCCTCGTAGTCGTAGTCTTGCTCGGGGTTGCGGGAGATGATGTACCATGCATGGATGAGACCTGGGATGTAGCCCAAGCAGCACAGGAGAATGTTGATCAGGGAATCCGCAGAGCAGATGCCGGACTTGATCCAGACTGGATGGAGTATTCGTGTTAGCCTATTGAAAGATCCTTCTCCAGGAGGATTGTGGATGGGCGAAAGATTTACCTGCAATAGGAGGGAAGAGGATGGCTAGGAAGCCGAGGAAGATATCGCCGCAAGTCATGCTGATAACAACCCGATCGCGAGGGGAAATTCGTCGAGAGGGCATAGATTGGATGGGAGGATAGAAATCACAGAAAGAAGAGTGGGAGAGATATTGCAGTTAAGATGACGATAGGTTGGTTGATACGGCATAAGGGTCCTGCTTCTCAGTTCAAAGAATGGTGGATGCCTGATGATGGCAAGAAAAGGCCTCTCACTGGATAAGGTACAGAGTACTCGGACGGAGGCGCAGCTTCAAGCGTGGCGGAACGGGCTTGGGATAAGTGGCAAGGGCGAGGCTGAGGAGCGGATGCGCAATGACGTGACATTGGTGGGATGGGGCAAACGCCACGTGATTGCACGTGGCTCAGGTCATTCCTCCGCGACGTTTGTGTGGATTATAATCTGCCGTATTATTCCACCTCTTCACGTGACATTTCCCCGAATTCGGCCGCCGGAAATAGTAGTAGCAGCCGCTGGCCGTCAAAAAAGACCTCGGCTTTCCGAGAAGCGAAAGTGATCGGATATGCGGATCCAAGGCCATTCGACAAGACACTCCCCAGCTTTGCGGTCACGTAGACTAATCCTGTTTCTAGATTGCTGTTCGCTTTTGTGATCATTCGCAGTTCCATTAAAGCTCTGCTTCTTTAAATTGCACTATACCTAGTCATACGAACTCTGCCTTGCGCGGCATCGGGCCTACATACATCTGATAAGCCACCGACTGCAAGACATATATTCATTCCACTCTACTCCCCCCTTAACATTCCCTCGGTAGTTTCCCAGCAAAGAAACAAGAAACCCTCGCCAACATGTCCAGCACAGAGGCGACTCACCCAGACCCAGCTGTGGTCCCGCAGGAACCTTCGGCTCCAGAGAAGCGAGGTCTCGAGCCCGTCAAGCCGCCCCAGAATCTGCCCGGTGCAGTTTCGACGACGGTCTCCAAGGCCGATGAGCTGCTAGTACGCTTGAGCAAGTACGTAGACAAAGATATGTCATAACCACTTTCAAGGAGCAGTAGGATTGACATTTCCTGCAACTGGAATAGAATGATCAAAACAACCGCCGGCTTGGGCGCGGCCCTGTCGACGCTCAACTACTCTCTCTACGTCGCTGCATACCTCCACGCACAGTCGCCCACCCGAGCTGCCGTCATCGCCTATATCTCACGCATCGTGGGGCGGGCGTCCAAAGCGCCCATCGTCGCGGCACCAGCAACAACTGCAGCAGCAACGTCCTTCCTCACACCGCTCGGAGCCCTTATCTCCGACACCCGCACGAGCTTGCGCCTGACAGGGCTCCTCCCTCTCTACATCTGGATGAAAACGCTCCTATCTCGGAAGACATCCAAAGAGATGGACCCCGCTCTCCACCGCATCGCCCTCCTCCAATGCGCAGGCTACATTGGGTTCCAACTGATCGAGAACATCTACCATCTGGCGGGCAAGGGGATCGTGCCGGTCTCTGTGCTGGAGAAGCGCGGCGGCGTCGCGAAATGGGTTGCCTGGAGCTGTCGCGCGTGGCTCGTCGGCGTATCGTCGGATTTCCTGCGCTTGTGGCGCGAGGCCGAGCTAGAGAAATCGCGCGCCTCAACCAGGTCTGCGAAGGAGAAGGAGGAGTTTGATCGCAGGTGGTGGAATGAGTTCATGACTGCTGCCTACTGGCTTCCTGTTGCCGTGCAGTATAGTAATTACCCTGAAGGTGTTGGGTTGAATACGGGTGTTATCGGCCTCTTGGGCATGATGGCTGGTCTGACCAATTTCAGGAATGCATGGGCTGCTACTGCTTGAGAGGAGATGATGTGTCCATGGCTGACGTGAAGAGGGGGGAAAGAACAGCAAAGAGCTGTGACCAAATTGAAAAAGAAAATCTAACATTGGGCGTCAAAACATGAAGAGGATAGGTTCCCGAATCGCAATTTCAAGTTTGAGAGAATACACAGTGCGATGCTAGGAAATGAGTACCATTTGGTCCTCGAGCTTATAGTAATTTTCGAATCTCAGCAAACATGGCGTTTGTGAAAACGGGTGCGTCGAATGTTGACCCGAAAATTGTACCTGCAATCATAATGATCTCTTTCATAACTTATTCTACCGACGTTATCGTCAGTTCACAGTCGAACCCGAAACGTGGTAGAACTGTGTGTGTGCAGGCTGGGAAGGCAGCCTGATGGGCTTCTGGCATCAATTTGGAGCGTGGAGAATCAGAAAGGATGGAGCAACCCTGCTCTCGTTCTCACTCTCGCTTTTTGTATTTTATCTTCTTTAGGTTTATGTCTTAGACTTGGGTGGACTTAACGAGTTCCCGTGGGGACGCATCCAGCAGGCTAGGCATGTCGCATCCACTTGTCTCACCAAGACTTCAGCCTTCGTATCGATTCCACAAAATCAGATGTTGGCATTGATGATGTCGACAACTGTGAGAGGAGTCAAGTTAGCATACGATGCAAACGACAACAAACAGGTCAGCTTACAGGCAGGCTTGAGACTGGCACCACCGACCAAGAAACCATCCACATCGGTTTGCTTGGCCAGTTCTCTGCAGTTCTTCTCGGACACACTGCCACCATAGATAATCCTCGTGGCCTCAGCAACTTCTGGGCTCACCGATTCGGAGAGCCATTTTCTGATGGCTGCGTGGACTTCTTGTGCTTGTTCTGCACAACGGACCTCTGATTAGTATGCTGGACAATTGCGATGCTGAGAGATAGAATTCAAGGATTCACTCATACCAGTCGTGGCAACTTTTCCGGTTCCGATGGCCCAGATGGGCTCGTAGGCAATAACAACGTTCTTCCAGCCATCCTTGCCAATTGACTTGTTCACTGCCGCCAGTTGTCTGGTGACCACATCCACGGTAGTGCCTGCTTCTCTCTCCTCGAGGCTCTCACCACAACATAGAATGACGCCGATTCCACCGTCTAGCGCAGCCTTAGCCTTGCATGCCACGAATTCGTCCTCTTCTCTGAGAATGGTCCGGCGCTCGGAGTGGCCCAACAGTGTCCATGTGATGTTGCTGTCCTTAAGTTGAGCCACAGAGATCTCGCCGGTGAAGGCACCGTTGGGTCTGTCGAAGACATTCTGGGCAGCCACCTCAATGTTGGGCCCAAGGTGCTCGCGAGTCAATAGAAGGTAGAGGGATGGGGGAGCCACAACGACTTCGGTGTTCGAGTCTAGAATGGATAATGCCAGTGGTCAGTATTTGCTCGACTCCAACGTACATAAAAGATTGACCCAATTCAACTAGTGGAGTATCTTGCGTCCTCTTGCTTTTGTGCCTACGAAAAAGTAGCCGGAGAAAGGGAAATGGGAGGAAGGAGAGCCATTGAACATACCCAGCTTGGCGGTTGAGAGGTTATGGACGATTTCCTTGATGGAACTGATAGTTCCATTCCTGAATTGTAGAGTATCATCAGCACCAGATTTTGTTGGAAGTAGACAAGAAGATTTGTGTGAAACCAGGGCGAGCTTCAGGTACCAGTAACAACACATACATTTTGAAGTTACCTCCGACGAAGAACTTGCGGCCCATGATGGCGGTTGTTTGGGATTATTCGTTGAGTGTATGTTGTTTCCAGACTTCAAAGATCGAGGAGTAGAAGAACGTAAGCTTTCAAAGAATCGTTGGGAGCAAAATGCAGACGGCAAAAAGGAAACAGCAAGAAGCAAGCAACAGGATCGGATCAATACTCGTCCTGCAAAGCTGTTACAGCATCTGTTGACGGCGGGGCATCGAATCAGAGTTCGAGGGGCATTTCAACATAGAGGAATTGTCCCGAGCATGCCATCTTATCGATTATCGGCCTCCGCAAGAAACTCCGGTTTCTCGCGAAGGGCATCCATGTGAGCTTAAAGCAGCACTACACTCTTGCTCTTTCAGTGCCGCAACATCCTGCCATTCTAACATTCCGCTCCCAGCCTTGCCCACTTAGTATTCTAGCCTCTACTCCCGTTGCCCTTGTCCCATTAGCATTCAGATCAAACACCATCTCATCAAGGAAACTACCCCTTGCTTGGCGCGACTATCGGCTTTAAAAGCGACGCTCCATCTTGAATTCTACGTCAGTAGTGATTATCTAACACCCAATGTAATGGGGACGCTTTACCGTTGAACTGTTCTGCCTAATATATTGATAGAAATTCCGAGACAGCTATATTTGACGCGGTTTGACTGAGGTGCGTGAATACCTGAGCCGGAGAGGCGGGTGACGAAATGCGAAGCCCAACATTGAAGGTCACCGATCTGAAGTAACAGGTCAAGAGCACTTTTTCAGCAGTATTTTTCGGGATTCACCTTCGCCTTGCCTTGACACTCTCTGGACACAGGAGCGATGAAAGTGGATCTCTGCCCGTTTTGTCAAACCTCAAGCATCACCAATCTCAACGAGGACACGTGAGCTGTCGACAGTGCGAAAATTGTCAAAGTTGGTAGCATCATCGCTAATGATGCTGGTTGAAACTCGCTACAATCATATCTCGCTAAACAGACGCGCCCCTGAGGTCGGAGACTTCGCCCTGTGCGATCTCATTCCACACTTTCTCGACAATGGTGCTCGGTTATGACCACATGGCGAACCATTCCACCCAGCTGGCACCCGCTGGCAAGCCTCATCTTACGGTATTTGTTTCAATCTAGCTCGGATTGCGAATAGACGAACCGAAAATGAACCAGGCTTGAGTCGTTTACTACATAGTCTACTGATCTACGGTGTACGAGTACAGTAGCAGCCTTGTCGCAGACACTATCTGTCGAGAGAAAATGGCACCAAACCCAAGCTGGTCAAAGCTGTTCTACAAGAGTGCTCGATGTATTCCGTTTAGAGTTACTGAATGTATCTTGGAAGCGTCAATAATTCACCCTTGGAGTTTTCCGGGTCGTCCGTTCCTGGTGCAATACCCATATTGAGTTAGTTACTACTTGAACCTGTGGGATGAACCGGCGCAGTACTCGGTAACAATCGTTGTCAAAAGGCCTGGGAGAACCCCCTTTTAAATTAAGAGGCTAAGATTGTAGGTTGTGACTAGTTAGGGAATCTGCAAGCCAGGTACCGCGACTCCACTGTTTGCGGCGTACGGTCCAAACATAAGTTTGTGGTTTCCAGAATTTCCGTTAGAATGCAGGTCAACTGTTTCCCGAAGCCCCACCGTCTAGGCGAGGCGTTCAGGGATCAGAGCCTTGTCGGGCAACCCCCCGTAATAAATTACCCGGCGATGAAATGAGCTGGCTGGCTGTCTTCCGCTCCTTTCCGAATTCCTCAGATTGTTGGAGCCGCGCCCTAACACAAACGACAAGCTACTAGACTCATTGACTCAAGAGAAAGGGGTTGATCTCTCATTCCTGCGGCGCCGTTGGCTACTTGGTTGTAACCTGAATGACCGAGCGGGCCTAACCACTTTGCCGTAGTTCGAGTCGGCATTTGCCGGTTCATCATCCGGCACCTCGTATGCGTTTCCCTATTTTTGGGATTCCAATTTCTCGGGGCTCGAGTTACGCCAAGGCAAATACTCAATATGTACTCAATTCCAAGGCATGCACGTACTGCTCTCCTGCCAGCCGAGAGAGTTGTCTGGAAAATTCGGGGGTTCTCGTCGGAAAAAATAGCCATGGGGGCTCGCCCCGAGACATCGGATGTGTGAAGCGCATAGCCACTTTTTGGAGGTGACCTGCAAAGCAAGTTGCATGCCATGGAAACAGGGATCCTCCTGTAAAAAATATTTTTCGAAGTGGTCTTATGCTTGGATGTTAGCGGTTTCGCGAATCTCTGAGTGACAAGTTACAAGAGAACAGAACCAGGTCACACCACATACCACATGTACGTGGTGGAGATGTCCACTTTGCATGAAGAAGGCCTCAGAGAGTCGAAGGTTATGCATCGATCCACCACATCACTTCTCATTCCCGGCGGAAGCCCGTACGAGTAAGATCGGTGTGAAGACTGATCTCAGTATATAGCAATGGATCCCCTCGTGCTTCCACATGGCTCGGAGGATCTTTGATTGAGAGCCTCAGGAATATTCGAACCACACCAGGGTCCACTACCGCATCTCTAAGCATTTTAGAGCAACCGATTATTCAATATGGCGGCTCTACCAAAGAACATGGACCATGTTGACAGAAGGGAGCTGTACACTTCTTTGCCTGTCAGGGTTCAATATCTGCAGCAGTTTCTTGAGTTCAGCGCAGGTGTGTATTCCATTAAATACATTCCCTGATGAATGTCTAGATCACTGACTCAAGGTCAATGTAGACGATGTTGTGGCTTTGATAGACGGGCAAAAATACATCAAGCAAATCATACCAGCAATTGTGAATATGGTCTACAAGAAGCTGTTGATGCACGATATCACGGCACGAGTTTTCACTACGAGAGACAGCAGGGTCGAGGAAGACCCTGATGAGTGGGTAAAGGAAGAAGGCTCCCAGATTCGACATCGAAAGATGTTTCTAAGATGGTATCTCACTAAACTAAACTCGGACCCAAGCAAAATGGAATACTGGCAGTATTTGGACAAAGTTGGGTATGCTACCGGATTCCGAATCTCCATCTCCATCTTTGCCTAGCTGAGCTAGCTGACCCTTGACAGTCTCATGCACGTTGGAAAAGGGCGTAAAAACCCTTTGCATGTCGATTATATCTTTCTTGGTGCCTGCTTGGGGTACATTCAAGATGCTATGACCGAAGCCATCCTCTCACACCCTCGCCTGGAGCTGACCCAGAAGATTGCAATCGTGAAAGCAATCGGCAAGGTCATTTGGATCCAGAATGATCTATTGGCCAAATGGCACTTAGAAGATGGGAAAGAATTTGAAGACGATCTCGACGAGGAGGAGATACAAGCCGAGGCAGCTGAGCCAGAAGGCTACATCAAGGGTCGGAGGGTGTTGGGGAGCAACGGAAGTGATGACGATAGCTTAACAGATCGTCCTTCATCGGTTTCATCAGGGAGATCCGGTAAAAGCACGACAAGCCTCGGAAGAACGGTTGAGCAAGTCAACCAGGCCAACGAGGTCAGTGGATGCCCATTCAGTGGAATGGTGCATGCTCCGAAAGTCTTGGAGACGCAAAGAGCTGCGACTTGGAGGCCACGACGTGAAGACTCACTCCCGATGTCTGCACCAACAGGCATTCCCAAATTACATCTTGTTGATGGCAGAACCGTTTGCAAGGAGAACCTAGGACCAAATCCATTCCAGTAGGCTTCTCGAAAGTTCCTGGTTGTACAAAATAGACACGACATCTACATAATTTGAAAATAATGATCAATCTTCACCTATGACGGTATCAGAGGTAGCATAACCACCCTGCATACAGTAGTATTGCAATGGCCGTCCTTCCAAAACCAGAACCCAGTCCACAGTATTCAGTTCCTCGAGCCTGCGTTTGATGGTTGTAAAGCTTCGCCGTAAAATACCAAAAGAGGAAAGTCATCCATCGATAATGAATGCTTCTCCGTACTCCACCGACAATTTTCTTATCTTCGAAACTTGTGCCTAGGTTTGTTTGCGCAAGGCGCAAACAAAGTTGAGTTACGACTTACGTGGCCTACTTCTCCTTTCACGTGGTGGTGATTCCTACCAAGTCTTTTTGTATCGTCTCCAGCGGACGGAACCTCCCCAGACCGACTCCCAAATCGTCAATCGGAAGTCCACCTCTGCAGGTGACTTCATTCTTCACAATTGACAAAAATTCGATATCATGGCTGCGAAGAGATCGGACAACTTAGACGGTGCTCCTGCGAAACGACAAAAGACCTCGAACGACATGAATCCCCAAGATAATCCGTATCTCGCACATTGGTACGACAATGGACCCAATGGCAACAGCAATGGTCATTCCACCTCACTATCAATGTCCGAAGGTCCGCTGGCCAAGTTCCAAAGACACCAAACCACTGCTGCTCTTGCACGCGAGGCAGAGGACAGCAAGTTCAACCCCTTCACAGGGCGAGCGCTTTCGGAGAGATATTTTTCCATCCTGAAGACAAGAAGAGACCTGCCAGTACATGCCCAGAGAGATGAATTTCTTAAACTGTATCAGAAATCACAAATACTGGTGTTTGTTGGTGAGACGGGTTCTGGAAAGACTACGCAGATTCCTCAATTCGTGCTATACGACGATCTGCCTCAGCAACAGCGCAAGCTAGTTGCTTGTACCCAACCTCGAAGAGTCGCGGCTATGTCAGTTGCAGAACGTGTGGCACAAGAGATGGATGTCAAACTGGGAGATGAAGTCGGTTACAGTATCCGATTCGAAGACATGACCAGTCAAAAGACAATCCTCAAATATATGACTGATGGCATGCTTCTTAGAGAAGCCATGAACGACCACGACCTGACCCGATACAGCACTATCATTCTTGATGAAGCACATGAACGTACCTTGGCCACAGATGTGCTGATGGGTCTTCTCAAAGAGGTGGTTCTGCGAAGACCGGACCTTAAACTGATCATCATGTCTGCAACTTTGGATGCTCAAAAATTCCAGCGGTATTTTATGGATGCGCCACTACTTGCTGTCCCTGGGCGAACACATCCCGTCGAGATCTTTTACACTCCTGAACCAGAGCGAGACTATGTTGAGGCTGCAATCCGAACTGTACTACAAATTCATGCCACTGAAGCAGATGGTGATATTCTTCTTTTCCTCACAGGTGAAGAGGAGATCGAAGATGCGTGCCGAAAAATTTCCTTGGAAGCCGATGAGATGATCCGAGAAGCAGATGCAGGACCTATGAAGGTGTACCCCCTGTATGGTACGTTGCCGCCAGCACAACAGCAGAAGATCTTCGAACCCGCGCCTGCTCCTCGACGACCAGGTGGACGAGCTGGACGCAAATGTATCATTGCCACTAATATTGCAGAAACTTCTCTGACAATTGATGGTATCGTCTATGTGGTCGACCCTGGATTTTCCAAGCAGAAGGTCTATAATCCACGCATTCGTGTTGAGTCCCTCCTTGTTTCCCCAATCTCAAAAGCCTCTGCTCAGCAGCGTGCCGGTCGTGCCGGTCGTACACGTCCGGGAAAGTGCTTCCGTCTCTACACAGAGGGAGCTTTCAAAAAGGAGCTTATCGAACAAACATACCCTGAAGTTTTGAGATCGAATTTGTCGTCGACAGTGTTGGAGTTGAAGAAGCTTGGGGTTGATGACCTGGTTCATTTCGATCTAATGGACCCGCCTGCTCCTGAGACTTTGATGCGGGCACTAGAGGAATTGAATTATTTGGCTTGCCTTGATGATGATGGAAACTTGACAACTATGGGTCGATTGGCCTCGGAATTTCCTCTGGATCCTGCCCTTGCTGTTATGCTCATTTCTTCGCCAGAGTTCTATTGCTCGAATGAAATTTTGAGTCTGACAGCCCTACTGTCCGTCCCTCAAATTTTTGTTCGTCCTGCTTCTGCAAGAAAGCGTGCAGATGAAATGAAGAATCTATTCGCCCATCCCGACGGAGATCATCTGACTCTACTCAATGTATACCACGCCTTCAAAGGTGCAGATGCGCAAGCTAATCCACGACAGTGGTGTCACGATCACTTCCTCAGTCTCCGTGCTCTTCAGTCAGCCGACAATGTTCGCCTCCAATTAAAACGCATCATGGAACGAGAAGAACTCGAATTGATGTCTACACCGTTTGAGGACAAGAAATACTATGAAAATATCCGACGAGCTTTGGTGTCTGGATTCTTCATGCAGGTGGCGAAGAAGGAAGCCAATGGAAAGACATACACTACAGTGAAGGACAGCCAGACTGTTCTCCTTCACCCAAGCACGGTACTTGGCCAAGACAGCGACTGGGTCATCTACAACGAGTTTGTTCTTACTAGCAAGAACTATATCCGCACAGTGACAGGTGTTCGTGGGGAATGGCTGCTAGATCTTGCACCCGGCTATTACGAAATTGACTCTTTCCCGAAGGGTGAGGTCAAAACGGCACTTCTCCGGCTCAGCGAGAGGATCGCTAGGCGGCAAAAGATCAAGAGGTGAATGAAGGTCACCGTTGTATCGGTTTTAGCAGTACTACTCATACCCCTTGCATATGTTATGAATAGAATACAAAAAGGTGACCAGGGAGGATGCGTTCGTTTGCGTCCTTCGATGTTCCGCTGTTTGGGCATAATGGTGGTTTTCCTATTGGTTCACGTGGCATCAAAGTGATCATTTAAGGGTTCGTCAGCGGTGAAGATACTTCGATAACTCTACCCGTCGACTAGGAGTTGACCTGTCAGCAAGGGTGCATGAGAACCTTGCTCTCTCTTTGGCTCGGGATAAAGGGATCAAATGCAAGTACTGGCTCCAGGGTTTGACAAGAAGGGGCCTGTATAATTGTCAGAGCAGCATATTTGCGGCGAACTGAGACCTGTTTGTAAGCAAAACTTGAAGTGGCTGTTGCCGGAATCCCACTAGACAGACACTAGCAGATTAGTAGACTCACTAATTAGCGATTTGCAGGTAAATCCTGCTTTCTTGTTGACTAGTAGTTAACTAACTGGTACTGGTTTGATATTTGCTCAGCAACAGTGCATTGTAACAATTCCTCTCCCATTTCAAATAACAAGCCCAACACCTTCTCCTCCAGATCCATGGGTGCTTTGCTGATAAATGGAACAAAACTTATACGCGTCATGTCCGAAACTCCTACCAATGATCGCTTTCTTCTCGCGGATCGGTTAGGGGCACAAATGACTAACTTACCTGTTACAAGTCCATGAGAACACAGCTGCGATTCACCACCCATTTTAGCCTCACCTAGTTTAAAATCGGACCCCGGCTTTCTTCGCCTATGCCTATGAAGTTTAATCGTCTAAAGCACAAACATCAATAGCTGCAAGAAAGCAGGGGCTTGCTAACACGAGCAACAGGGTTTTATATGCGCTATGCAAGACTCAGAGCATAGCCACCCTTACCACAGGGGGTTGGACAGCCTAATTTTCCATTTGGCTTCGAATATTTCAGGTTGGCGATTTTCAGGCAGGACGGAGAGGCCGTGGTGGCTCAACCGAATACACTATACTTACTGATTAGTTAAACATTGTCTTCCCATGCTGGTAGTATGGATCGATCATCGTTGTGAATGACTTGTTTGCCCAGCCGGTGAAGGTATGTATACTTTCGGTCTGATTTGTTCGTCCCTTCTCACGTACTTGGTTCTACGATTCTCTCCTCGCCTTCATAATATCTTCCTTTCCAAGACTTTCCCTTTGTCTTCCATCTCAAGCTTCGCCGTGTGCACCTTTATCATCTATCAGTGGATGCCAATTCGAACCGACAGAAGCAGCACTTCGTTCGCTGGGGACTGAAAACCAGAATTAGCCCGGGTGCTTCAAGCGCTTGATGGCTACGCTTCGATGTGGAGGCAATATTGAAGGCGCCGAGCGCATAACCTGTCCAGATGGCAGTGAATGGCGGAAGTGCGAAAATTTTGACGGTCCAGAGATCCTTCGATGTTGTTCCAGCAAGCCCTGTTCTGAAGATATGCACCATCCAGAAATTCTAGATCCAAGAGGCCTAGGGTCAAAGAATATCCCAGTGTTACGGGACTTGACAATCACCACTTCTGCTGGATCGACTTCATCATCAACATCAACAGCTGCATCTGCGACATCCACCTCGACACGTATGGTGGCTGTGGCTGGAGGCACAGCCGTAGTAGCGATAGTGGTGACCGCTTTTGTCGCAATGCTCATATTTTATTGCCGGCGACGAAGGGTAGCTAGAAAGCTTCAGCCTTATATGCAGATCACAACCTCTTCGAAATCTAGTTTTCGGTTGAGCCGGAAATGCACAGGTTAGTACAACTCCCACTTGCCCCCATTGAGGGCATGACGATTACTAAAAAACACATTGAAGACTCAAGCACCCTTCCTCTATACAATGTCACGTCACCACAGCTCTCATCCCCTCGAATATTCTCTCCAGCACCCGCATACATGCCCATATCTCATGAGAAAGCCGAGTCGATAGAGCCACAGGAGATCATGGGCGTCGGGTTGACAGAAGGCGATTACATCCGTCGCTTCAAGTCGCGAACGCCAGCTAGCGCATTCGGCGGTCCGATAGAACTTGCCACTTTGCGATTCTCTGCTGTTAATATCTTTGCGAAAGCGGAAAAGCAGCTTTTAAAGCCGAAACAAACGACCAAGGCGGAGGCAGACCCAAAGCGAAAACCCGAGGAACCGGTAGAGAGGCCGTCCCGGTTGCGCAGCAGTCCTGCAATTAGCGATCTACGAGCGATGGCCTTGTCCAGAAGCCCGTCGATAAGTCCGGCGCGCACTGATAATCTCGGGTAGGATTACATGGTTTGGGTACAGTGGTCAGCAATTTAGTCGGGTTGTACAAACCAACAAATCAAAACACTTTTTATTTCTTTGAAGCTCTCTCCTCGAATATTAGTAGTGAATGAACGCAACACAGTCTGTAACTAAGCTGAGCATTTGTCCCTGGCTAGGTATGGATGATAAGTTATTGGACCCCAACGGCCAATTATGTAAGCCAGGACGATGTAGAATATTGGGTGCTACCTGTCGCCCAAGTATATGTATGCTCGGCCAATCAATCTAATCTGATTAGCTAGTTTGGAGCCCATTTACATCACGTGCTCAACTTTTTTTCTTTCGAATCTTTCGCAACTTGAGCCAATCCAAGGCCCAGGTTACGTGTTCAGTTTCACTTTTGCCAAACCTCGCTTTCTACCCTCATTTGAAGCCATATTTATGTTCGGAGGTCGTCTGTTGCGAACATTTGAAATCTCGGCAGGCCGAAGATTCTTTTGTTCGACGGGAAAGTCTCAATATCAACATCAGAAGAGGACCAGACCCAGGGAATCGCGGTTCGCAAGAAAAGGGCCACGGTCCTCCCCATATAAGGCCAGAGAGGTCGGGGAATCTGTTTTCCATCCATTACTTGCATCAGGAGAGTATGATGCTCATTTGATCGCCATGAAAAAGTCCAGGCTCGTCACTCCGGAGACCGATTACCGGCGGGGCAACAAACGGCTTTTGGCGTCACTCCCCATGCGCTCTGAAGGCCTTCCAGCAGAGGTCATCGCATTTGAGGCGAGTGATCTACTAGAAAAATATCGTCCAGAGGCAAATGGTGATGTAGAAGAGAAGCCTGCCTTAACGGAGCACTTAAGTCGCAGTACCATCAGAACGAGAAAGCGAATCGACCCTGTGGTGCCCGTTCACACCGAGATTGAACTCGAGATCGAAGAATTATCCTCGACAGGTGATGGACTGGCGTATTCACAGGAGCATGATCACGTTTTCGTTGTCCCTTTCGCCGTTCCAGGTGACAGGGTGCTCGCGAGGACTTACCCACAGATCCCCAACCGACTGTACACCTTGACCGACAATGACAAGCTCCTGCGGCCGTCTGAGAAGCGCGAGGGCGTCACTCCCGGCTGCAAATACTTTGGCAAATGCTCGGGCTGTCAGCTCCAGATGCTTTCCTATGAGGATCAGCTGCGGCACAAGAAGAGCATCGTCGAACAAGCATTCAGACGCTTCTCGAACCTTGAACCGTCACTGATCCCCCCCGTGGGCGACACCGTCGGTTCACCGATACAATACGGTTATAGAACCAAGCTGACACCACACTTCGGCAGTATCAACGGCGTTCACAGTAACACGAAAGATGGCATTGACAGGCCTCCCTCCATCGGATTCAACGAGAAGGGACGTAGAGCAGTCATGGACATCGAGCAATGCCCCATCGGCACACCGATCATCAACGAGGGAATGAAAATCGAACGTCGAAAGATCCACAGAACATTCGAGTCCCGTAAGAAAGGCATGACAATCTTACTCCGGGAGTCCACTCAGCGAACTGTGCTCCCATCTTCTGCCACAGGAGCCGCGGCGCCGACGGAGGAAAGCTCGGGTAAAGACGAGAACACAAGCGAGGAAGCTGTGGTGGCGCCAGCACCGGAGAAGACAAACGACACAGCTACATTCGTGATACCATACGAGCAACCATTGACCAGCGAGCTCACCTACACGCCAGCGGAGCCAACCCTGACACTCACGTACCCGACACACAAGGACGTGAAGACATACACGACACGACACCTGGACACCACGACCGAGTACGTCGGCGACGTGACGTTCCGCACGATCGCGAACGCCTTCTTCCAGAACAACAACTCCATCCTCCCAACCTTCATCAGCTACGTGCGCGAGCAGTGCAGCCCGCCCGACTCCGCCACGTCCACCGACCCACCGATCAAATACCTGCTAGACGCGTACTGCGGCTCCGGTCTGTTCGCCGTGTGCCTAGCACCGGCGTTCTCCTCCGTGCTAGGCATCGACGTCGACGCTCAAGGCATCGAAGCCGCGCGCCACAACGCGCACCACAACAAGGTGCCCAACGCAGGCTTCGTCGCCGCCGACGCCGGTACGCTGTTCCTCGACGTCCCCTTCCCGCCGGAACAGTCGCTCCTCATCCTCGACCCGCCGCGCAAAGGCGCGTCCCACAACTTCCTGCAACAGCTGTGTGACTTCGGGCCCAGACGGGTTATCTACATCAGCTGTAATGTGCACACGCAGGCAAGAGATGTCGGCTTGCTGGTGCAGGGCTTTGGCGGGAAGTGGAGGTACGAGGTCGAGAGCCTGAGGGGTTTCGATTTCTTCCCGCAGACGGGTCACGTCGAGGGTGTTTGCGTGCTGACCAGGGTCATGGATGAAGTTGGGCTTGCGGATACGACGGACCCGTAGACACTGATGGGGGTGGATGGATGCGAGATAGCTGGTCTGGTCTGCGCACCGCTGTACTGGCTTCGTTTCTGAGGCTGGATGCGCGTCGAAAAGGCGCCGAGCTCTGAGTCAGATAGGTGCATACTTATTTGTGCATCTACCTGCCTATTGGTTGCGAACAGTGCCGATACTTCTTGACACCTCGATAAGGAGTGAGGACATGCGATGGTTTCCAAATGTTTCTCTAGAGTGTATAAATAAAGGGTTTTATACTAGATTCCTACGCCAGGGATTGGACGGGAGCGTTCGTGTGAATTTTTTATCCGCCGGTCATAGAAGTATTCTCAAAAGTAGTCTCATATGATTCTACCTTTGGTCAAGTGCAACGGCAAAGTCTAAGTGCTACCTGGTCCACCAAGAAGAGCAAATCTCCTGACAATGCTAGGACCTATCTCATCGTACTCTGCTTTTGTGTGACAGTAGCTTCTGAACTCCGGGGTCTGACCAAGTAAACTGCCTCCGAACCATGGCCCATGTCGTTGTCGTTTGTGCGTTACTACTTGGACTTCTAAACCACCACTCCTGGCTCCTCCGCTTCGTGTCTCGGATGCCTTAATACGGGCGTCCACCAAGTGTCGGATATCTCTCTGCAACCTGCGGCCGAAGTCTTTGTATAAAGTCGAACCGCCGGAAAGAACAATGTTCTTATAAAGTCCTCGACGGACATCGATTGGTGAGGACTGAATAACGCCATCAACCACGGTTGGTAGAGGTGTCAGGAAGTCAGAGGAATATATTTCTGGATTGAAAAAGATTTCAGGGGCGAGAAAGCGTTCGTAGCCAACGTCGATGGAAACAGATCTCCCATTGGGAGCTGTGACGGTGTGCTTGAGGAATCGATCAGGCTCCCGATCGTAACGAGCGAATTCCTTAACCATGTCTGGACAAACATAGCAGTACTCCTCCTTGACCTTCTCTGCTGTTTTCAGACTGCTGTCTGCTTCACCTCGGTCTCGTAGAAGACTCTGAACAAAATAGGTGATGTCCCGCCCAGCAATCGGGATGCTTTTGATCGAAGAGCCAATAACATAACCTTCGGCCACTGGAATAACATGGGTGACACCATCTCCGGAATCGATGACTGTGCCTGTAAGCGATCTGTCGGTCACTTTTGACGAAGTCCAGGAGGCTGCTAGTGCCAAAACAGCTTGTACAGCAATGTAAAGACCAGCGCAATTGAAGGACTCGAACATAATTTCTGCAGTATTTTCACGATTTTCTGGGGGGTTGAGAGGCTGTGGGACAAGTTAGGCTCAGAAGAACAATTGACACTCCAGAAGGCTTACGGGTTCTGTCAGGAGGAAGTAATGATCTTCAGGCTCGACTCTCAGGTATTTGAAGATGGAGTTTGACCAGAAGCGTTCCATATGATCCCAATTCTCGATTTGGCCATGGCGAATTGGGTAATGAACTCCGTATCCGGGACCAGCACCCGCAGCGAGAGCTTCGTCTCCAATGAAGAAATCAAGATCTTCTGTCCCGCGCTTGCCTGCCAAGTTGGAACTGGCTCCGGCGCCGCCAGTCAGATAGGAAGGTTTGTTTGCAACCGCAGGTCTTCCAGAGCCGGTCCCGCCACCTCCAGCGGCAGGTCCTTTTGTAGCAATGGCAGTAGGGAAGACCCACGAAGGAGCATCGTTTCCGGCGAATCCTATATGCATTCGATGTCAGAAGTGTAAAGCAGGGCGCAGGCAGGAGGCGCACCGAGTTTGGAAAAGCCGGTTCCGCTGGAGACGATGTTAACGACAAATACACCGAGACTCTTTGAGAAGACCTACTTGTCCATGACAACGGCTGGTGTTTGGGAAGCCATGTTGGATTGAGACGGGGGCGTAGACTGTGGCAGCGATGACGAGGCGGTTGGTCAAGTGGGGGAGGAGGCTGCTAAATAAATTGGTGGCGGCCTCTTATCCTCATGGCCAGGGGGTAGGTTACAAATTGAAGAGGATGAGGTACTGTTCAGTCCAGCAGCAGGCAATTATTGCTTGTTGCTGGTCGCAGGCAGCTTCAATACTGCGAGATAGTTTGGGCGAGTGAGACAGACGATTGACCTGTCTTAGTGGGATGTGCTTTGGCATTCGAGGCATCGCTCGCACGTGATCAGTCGTCATCCAAGGCGGTGGGGGGCTCTTGGCATGCACCACGTACAGCCTTAGGCTACTGAAGTTGCGCCTTCCGTTCCGCTCCTCTCCTAGCTAATGATAAGGCAAGACCATGCTCGTTCCTGCCACCTACCCTGGGATTTGGAACCAGGGAAACTGCTTCTTTTGGAGTCATGAGGTTGATGAGGCGGTTGTCAATTGTATTTTTCTCAGTCGCGACTGCAGCTTGATACCCAAACCACGCCAAGCCCGAGCATCGCTGATGGATTCACATTTTCTGCGCACTCAGGTCAGACTGGTGCTTGACCTCGATTGACGCCTAAGTGACGGTGCTGGCTACTGCTTTCCTGGAAAAACACCTTCACTCCTTTCAACATCATCCCTCAGATATCGTTCTACTCTCACTGCCTTACAAGGCTTTCTCGGCCCATACGTTGTATTGACAGAACTCCCAATAACACTCATTTGTTCAATCCCATCCATCCCATTGATTATCTTACCTCACCGTCCTTGTAAGATCCCACGCACATCTGTTCTCTCTGTGACTTGGCTCACTTCGACTTCCACTCAGTACTCCTGATCTCAGTCAAGTACACCCTGGAAGGTCTCCTCGCCCTGACCTGCACTTCACTCCCTGTGGATCTGGGTATTTTGTCCTTCGCCATCAGTGATTGGACACATATGCCCATATATGATGTCCTGGGGCTTCATTTTATAGAACGGAATTTGATGTCTTCCTCAGCCTGAAGATCCGCAAATGCCACGTCGACCACGCCAGGAAGGTGGTGACCTCTGTGCCATCTTCATTCATGCTGGTGCCGGGTACCATAGCCATCAGAATGAACGAGTCCATCTCAATGCAGTCAATGATGCCGCCAAAGTTGGAATGGCTATTTTAAAGAATGGTGGTAAGGCCACTGATGCCGTCGAAATGGCTATTCGGATGCTCGAAGATAAGGAGATCACCAACGCAGGTTATGGTAGTAACCTGACAATAGATGGCCACGTTGAATGTGATGCCACCCTAGTCGATCACTTTGGCCGAAGCGGTGCAGTTGGTGCAATACGGCAGGTCAAGAATCCCATTGCAGTTGCCCGCCTCGTTCTAGACGAGTCTACCCGGCCCATGTCTTTGCAGCGTGTTCCACCGAATCTCCTTGTTGGGACTGGTGCAACCGACTATGCCGCTGACAAGGGCATTCCTATCCTTCCTTTTGACTTCCTGATCTCTCAATCTGCCTATGAGCGCTGGCACCGCTGGAGACAGGACCTTGAAGAATCTCAACGTCAGGACATGCAGAGTGGTGTTCAGACGCAATCCCTGCAGGCAAATTCATGGGGACAACCAGCATCTTCTCACAGTACGCCAACAACGAAACAGTCGCTCTTGGACTCGGCATCGCCTTCTACAAGCGGAAGCCGTCCTACTCTTGCCCGACTCCCGCCTCTGAATCGTCCATTGGTCGCATCGACTGCCGACATCCCCTCATTATCGCGTCCAAATGGAGAGCACAGGTCTGAGTCAGGCTCGGATGTGGGCGGGATTGATCCGCCTTTTCGTGACCTGAACAACGGGATGGAAAGCATGTCGAATGAGTTGAATGAAGATGCCATTGACGACAATTTGCCATGGGCAGCCTCTGCCCCGAAACGACAAAAGATGAGCGGGTCGTTTGATGGCTCACATAAAGATTATTTTCGCGGCGACTCCGATTTCCCATCTGACAGCACTGATCAGCTATCGGAAGAAGTTCAAGATGATCGGGAAGACGACATCACCGATACAGTGGGAGCGATTGCGATTGACTGTTTCGGACGGATAGCTGCAGGTTCATCTTCTGGGGGGATTGGGATGAAACACAAGGGACGTTGTGGACCGGCAGCACTCGTTGGAATTGGTACCACCGTGATTCCGATTGACCCACAAGATCCAATGGAGACGTGTGTTGCAACCGTGACAAGTGGTACAGGGGAGCATATGGCAACGACGGCGGCGGCGGCTACAGCGGCGGATCGCATCTATGCTTCTGTGAGGAAAGAAAACGGTCGGCTACTTGCATGCCACGAGGATGAAGCTATGCATTCAGTGATTCAAAATGATTTCATGAGGCACCCCGGAGTGAGCAAGAGCCATTGTGTGGGGGCAATTGGCATTCTTGCGGTCAAGAAATCGCGCGACGGGATCTACTTCTACTTTGGGCACAACACGGACTCGTTTGCACTGGCATCTATGCACTCGGAGGAACGCAAACCGGTGTGTACGATGTCTCGGAGCAAAGGGCATGGTGCAATCGCACAAGGCGGACGAGTGTCTCGGGCCAAAAACGCTCGTCCCGTACGCTGATTACAAACTTCTCGACGAGACGATGGCGTTCGGGGCCGTGCCTGAAGCGACGAGAGCTCGGCGCAGATTGGACATCTCGATGGCCAAATTGTATCTCAGCGAGCAGATAGCCACGATGCCTGGGCCTTAGCCCAGGTTAGGAGGGGTATTCCCATTGCGTGGGATCCGACGGCGCTGTCGGTGGGACAGGAGAGGAGCAAACGGAGCACAAAAGGAGTAAAGACAGACCTAGGATGGTGGAGACAAGCGCAGGGGCAAATATCTGTACTTTTACACTTTGCTGTGACCCTCTGGTTTTCAAGAAGAGAGCACACAACCTAGATACCCAACCTCATATTGTTGTACCCTAACCAATTGAAAACCGTCCTGCCCCAAGAATGTCCCATGGCAGTGCGCCGGACCCCCCTTTGATAGATCACACATATGCAGGTGAGAACAGGTTGTGCCTCCGCCCTCTCTCGTGCTCACCTAGCACGAGCCTTGCGCCTCCTTGCAACGACGGCTGGTCTAGCGCCGTAATTGCCCAGGGTCAGATGCGTGCCGCACGTCAGGCAGTCGCCGTTCTCCGGCACGGAGCAGAAGATGCTCAGACAGATGCTGCACACGAACCCCGTGGATACCACGTTGCGGTGGCAGAAGCACGCCGCGCGGAAGTCGACGTCGATGCGTGTCGGCAGGATCAGGTGCGAGGACCGTGTTGCGGGTGAGGGTAGGAAGGATGTCAGGAGGTAGGTTAGGAGGGCTTGTGAGGCTTGTGATGCTTGTGATGTTGAGGAGGGAGAGGATGGGGCGGGTTTGGGAAGCTGCACGGGGATGAAGATCCCTTTCGTGGCGTCCGCGGCTTGTTGGAGGAAGACAGTTGAGTTGGAATTGTCTGTCGGTGTGGGCGAAGCGGATGATGTAGAGGGGTGTTTTGTGGCCGGTGCCGGGAGTGGTAATGGGAGCTGCAGAACATCAATCGGGATAGCCAGGCGCTGACAGGCGAAGATGGCATTCATGATGGGGATATACTGATGAGCCAAGTCCGTCGAAGGCGAAGCCGCGACCAGTAGGATCCTCGATTGCAATGCCGTGCTGGTGGCGGCTTCGGGGGTGGATGAGGTGTTGTTAACGCCGTGGACGTCGACGCCTGAACTGGCGCCGATGAGTGATTCCGCGTAGCTGATTGACTCTCGGTTGATGTGGCTTAATGCCAGTGTCAGGGCGCCGGCGATCATGGTCGAGGTGCTGCTGGCGACGACGTCCGGGGTCGTGCTGGAGAGTAGAGTGGAGAGGTTCTTGATGAGTTCCTCTTCGACTAGGCGGAATGGTCGGTACTTGTTCCCCGCACCTTCAGAGGTCGGGGGTTTGAGGTTGAGCTGTGGTGCTGGTGGTGGACCATTGCTGAGTCGGAGACGTTTTGTCGAGTCGGAGAGGTCCTGAGACTGAGATTGGGCCTGCTGGCCGACCTGGCGCTTTTGCTGTCGGTGCTGGGGAGAACGATGTGGAGGGCGTTGTTCGGTGGAAGTTGGATAGAGCCATTGTGCCGTGTCGCAGTGCGAGGCGATGACAGCGACTTTGTTGAGGTAGTTTCCTGCGAGGTGGGCGTTTATGAAGACCAAGAGGTTGGCGACGGTTGAGGAGAGTGTCAGGGTCGGTGACAGCAGCGACCAGGCGGCTGGATTGGTGTCGAGGATGATTGAGAGTAGAGAGGGCGAGAGTTCTGATGGCAACGAATGAGTCCAGCCTTGTCACAGCGAAATGGCATATCACGGGATACAGCCTCGGGGAGGGAATTGGGAGCGTGATGATTGGCTGGGCAGAGAGGTTCCGATACTCGGAAGGCGCCTGGCCCAAGGTGGACAAAAGGCCGATGCGAAGGGCGGTAAAAGATACGGGATTCGGACTGGCTTGAAAGGGGGACTCACCGTGTGAAGGCTTCTCGAATTGGTCGGAGGTGGTGTCCAGAGAATTCATATTAGAACGGGGGTTAGACTGGATGTGTTATCATCAATGCCCATCTATGTTTGCTGGATGAATGGATGAATGAATGAATGAATGAATGAAAGGGCAGTGGTGAAGTGGGAGGACGGTGGAATTCTACACGTGGATGAAAAGTGGCGTTGAGATGTTGGGGCGCCAGTCGGGCCTTTTCGCCCAGGGCAGACAGGCAGGAGACAGGAGAGACGTGGGAGGAGCAAGGGAGGGCCAACCAGAACAGCAGTTGGGGCCGAGCTAAAGGTCAAGACTACCAAGAAGGGTGGACAGATAGGGACCGGCTTAACTAAGTTGATGCCTAAAGCCGCCGAGGCGTGAGGGTGTGAGGGTGCGGAGGAGCCGCTGGGCGCCGGGAGTTGCACCAAGCACGGGCACTTGCCTGGAGATAGAGCCTAATTGACATTGGATTCGGCGCTTGGTTGATCCGTGTGTGTCGTGCCTTGAGACTTGCGACGTGTGACTTGTGAGCAAAGGACGCTGGAGCCCGGGCATTTCTGAGCTCTGAGCTGAGGTCAGCGCCTCATCTACGGGAGAACCCAAGGCGGATATGTTCCAATCACCCAACAGCCTGGCAACGTGGGTTATTGATTTGATGGATGGGGATCAGCAAGGAGGATCGTATCGTTTGGGCTCGGTGTGACTGTCACCAGTTCACGGGGAGGGGAGGGAAGCTTAATACACATGTATCTTGTAGAACAGAGACAGCCGACGCCGGCGTCCGCAATGCAGCGGTCGGTGGTCACTGGCCAGTGGTGGCCTGCGTTCAGTATTGTAATAGTCAAGTAATTTGTGTGAGTCAGAAATGGAGCACATGCTAATTTCAAATTTAAGCATCGAAATCCACCACAACATCCGATTTTATCTCTTTGAGTCTCGAGTCTTGACTGTTACAGTGCTCGATACTCGATACTTGATACTCGATACTCGATACGCGGGACCTGGAACCTCGCTCTTACATGCGCTATCTGTACTCGGTGCCTACCTTCTGCTTTTCTCTCTGGCATTTTCTCTCCTTCCACTGCATCGAATTTTCCATCCCACGTGCCCACCGTCCGCTTGTTGTCTTCTCACTCCCTGCCTCCCACTCAGTTCCAGACTTCAATCCCTCCTGTGCTCACCTCATATCCTGGCTTCCCTCATTTGCCCCAATCTGGCCTTGTCGCTGCCTTCTGGAGAAGCAAATTCATCAGCACTCCTTCCTACTCGCTCCCGGGCCCTTTTAACCGAGCACACGGCTTTGGCACCAGCGATCCTCCTTTATCTCCGCCAGCCTCACTGCCTCGCTCTGTCACTCTTCGCCTCTCAATTCTCGACTTCCATATCTTGCAGTCCGCCCTTCTACTATCTGGCATCCCGTACCGAGTACTCGCTACCATAAACAACCTTCCAGCCAGCACACCATCCTGATCAGCTGACCGTTCTACACCATCTACCAATTTCCAACTTTCTTCTCTTCCCCCCCCGGCCTTTTTGCCTTCTCACTACAGCCACCATTACCAAGACACTGGCATGGCTTTTACTTCTTAATCTCACCACACCCCAACACCCGCCCTTGGATCTCACTACATCCTCCCCTTTCCCCTCCTCTTCCCCCATCCGCCTGTCGACCGTTACTGCCCGCCAATATCTTTCTTTCTCCCAATGTCAACAATGGCAGCAGTGCAGCGGATGACCCGTCAACTCTCCGAAGAGCGTGCTTCGGTCTTGGCCAGGGAAGCCGTCGAGCTATCCAATACCGGGAACAAAGCTGTATGTACTCCTCCGCCCTCACCGTCTTTCTATCTCACTAACCTCTCATTACAGCAAGCTTCGAGGAAACTTCGTGAAGCTGCTGCTCTTGGTCATGACAATGCAGATGTCCAGGCTGCTTTCCTCGAAATCCACAATGATCAGGATAATTCGCCCTTGCTGGATTTATGCCGCAGATATGCTCTCTATCACAACAATGCCGCTGGTTCCGAAGCAGTCGCATACCTACGAAGTTCTGATGCTCCTAAATCTGGTCCTGTCGCTCTGGAATGTCTTCAGATCGTCCTCGAATGCCGCCAGGCTTCAATGTCCGATGATCAAAATTTCATCATTGCCGAACTTGCCAGACAGAGCCCACAGGTGCGCCAATATTTCGCTTCAGAGCTCCAAGCCTCGACGACCGAATTCTTCGAAAATGTCTACGAGCGAGGCGATGACGCTGCCAATTGTCTTCGATCAGTCGTCCTTGACGATAAGATCTGGTCCGACGAAGACGCAAGACTTCGCGTTGAGGATGACCTTTTCCAGCTATTTCTTGCCAAGTTAATGGAAACTGGCCACGACCACGACGGCAGAGCTCTCAAGGGTATTGCCCTTCTCCTCATTGCCGACCCCCAACGCTTACACACCTTTATCGACGAGGAAGCATTCGAAGCTCTTATGGGCAGCTTGGATTTGAGACTTCCTTCCGATGTCCGTGGCCAAGCCACTCTTGTTCTCTCCAAATTCTTCTCCACCGACGAATCTGTTGCTCAAGCCCTCTTCACAAATTACATCACCTCACATGTCGCCCGTCAAAAGGGTGACGATCTCGTCCTCGCCTTCTCTGCCGCCGCATCTCTGTTCCCCGTCATTCCTAGCATTGCTGCTCAACTATTCCTGACAGAGGGCTTTCTAACCTCTTTGATGCCTCTGCTCGGACGCCAGTTCAGCAGCCCACTCGTTCATGACGCATTCCTCACCCTTCTGAATGCTGCATGTATTGACGGTGCATGTCGGACCGCAATCGCACAAAATTGTGCTTCTTGGCTATCCCACAAAGTCAGCAATGGCACAGGTAAACAGCCGTCCATTGCGGCCACTACGCTGGCAAAGTTGAGGACATCAGGTGTCAAGGTCGGAGAGCAGAGAGCCAACAAGGCGGATGATGATGTTAGTGAACTCGTTGATCTTTTCAAGAATACCCTCACTGTTGAAGAAGGAAGAAGCATATCTGACTCCATTGAAGGCCTTGCGTACACATCTTTGAAACCAGAGGTCAAAGAATCCCTTGCGAGCGATCAATCCTTTCTCAAATCTCTGCTACAAGCCCTCGATTCTAACCACGATTCTCCCGAAATTGTGGTTGGGGGTCTGAGTGTTTTCTCAAACATCACCCAGTATAGACCAAATCTTTCAGAAGAACAGAAGAAAATGTCTCAACTGAAAGCTTACGCAAATGCTGCCAAAGCGGTCGACCCAAGCCCTCTCGAAAACGATGACCATGTTCGAGCTCGATGCACAGCCGTGGTCGAAGCTGGCATAGTCCCCACTCTCTCAAAATTGAATAAAGGGAGATCACCAGCTACAGCCCAGCTTACAGATCGAATCCTCTTGTCCCTTTCCAAGAATTCGAAGGACAGAGGAAAGATTGCACAACAAGGAGCTGTGAAGTTGCTGATATTCCACGCCCAAAAAAATCTCCAGTCAACGGACAGCATCAACCAGGCCAACATTGACGCTGCTCATGCATTGGCTCGAATTCTTATCTCCTTAAATCCTGCTCACGTTTTTGCGGCTGGAGCTACTCCTCACATTACAGATGCTGTTCCGCCTCTTGTCTCCTTGCTCAAGTCTCCTGCTAGCGCGGGTCTGGCTGATCAACCAAGAGACTTGCTGCCAATCTTCGAAAGTCTTCTTGCATTGACCAATCTTGCATCAGCTCCGGAAGCAACCGCAGCCAACAGCATCATTAAAGGTGCATGGGATGAAATCGAAGAGTTACAATTGGGAAACAACAGTATGCTCCGACGTGCAGCCACCGAACTGATCTGCAATTTGACCGTTATCCCTTCTGGGGCCGAGAAATTCGCAGACGGTTCCAAACGGGCGGGTCAGCGACTTCACATTCTCGTTGCCATGGCTGACGTCGATGATTTGCCCACTCGACGAGCCGCTGGAGGAGCACTTGCTATGCTAACAGATCAATTTACCTCCGTGGTTTCGGCAATCCTAGAGCTCAAACGAGCGCCAGAGATCCTCTTGGAACTTTGTCAAGATGATGACTCGGGCGTTGTCCACAGAGGATTAGTTGTGCTTAGAAATATGGTGTGCGAAGAAGATGGAAAGGTGGCGTTGCAAGCGAGAGCCTTGCTCAAAGAAAACAATGCAGTGGAGAAATTAAAGACTTGCTTGAAAAAAACTAAAGATCAGGCACTACTACAGATCGGGGTCGAGGTGCTGAAGGTCTTGGTGGAGACTTCAAAGACGTGACAGAGAAAAATTTGTTTGATGAACTGGGAAATTCCGCCTTGGTCCGAGTTACGGCCGTCTGCTTACGAACCGATGTGTACGCGAAGAACGACCTGCCGCATCCGCCTTATACCCCCATGAATGTTCTGGAGCTCATTATTAGACAATTACAAACAGTCTTCCCTAAGGGCGCATGATTGTGGATAGATATGGATTATGATCCGGTCGGTGTTGGTGACGAAGTGTTCATGGATGGAATCAGTCGGGTGGCAAAGGTTGAATGAGCGGCCCCCCTGACATGAGGGCTTGTTGTTTATATTTCAATCATGCTGGACCTGTTCGACGGCACCTATGATTTCAGGAGTCTTTAGAGAGCGATTTAGGATTCACCGTCCCTTTTCAGCGTGCATGCTTATGGCGTGGAAGCGGCATATTTTGATTTTCTCGATGCAGCAGGTAGCATAGCATATATATTCCGTCACCGCAGCCCTGATTGAGCAGCGATTCTTCTATTATTCATCATATCGTCAACTAGCACGGCGTTGCTTTGAACCTGGCGAATGAGATGGGACATTTCTACAATACTCCTTTCATTCCTGCCGAGTCGCTTGCACCAGTTTCTAGTGTGTGCACATCATTCAAAGTCTTGGATGAAGTGCGATGCCGCCAGGTTCGTATTGGGCCTTCCTCACTACTTCATAGCTATTCGTCTCTCTCGGGCTCTCTGCCGCTGCCGTGGATTATCAAGGAGCCGTCTCTCATGCGACGATCAGATCAGCCTGCTGCACGCGGGCACGTAGGGTCGATGAGTCTCAGCGCAAGAGCAAGCGAGAGTTGGGGGTTAATTATGTAATACATAAATGGGTTCTTCTTCTATCTATACAAGCTATTCACTGAATCATACACACGCCCGTGCCGATGCTGCATGTCAACATGTGCCGAGTACCTAACTATGTAGCACTGCAAGCAAGCTAAGCTCAGCGAGAGGTGTTGCTTGCCAGAGCCAGAGCCAGAGCCAGAGCCAGAGAGAGGGCTTGCGTGTCGTCGTCGGGGGATTTCGAGGCGTAACCGTGGCCGCTGGGCCACAGAATGGACTATCCATCGAAGGAAAAAAAAATAGCCTTGGGTTTCCTTCGGATTTCAGGGGGAAGATTTCACAGACGGCTCCCGTATTGCATATCGTCCTGACTGACTTGGGTTGGGCCTTGAATTGACCACCGTCCATATATGCTGAGAGATGGTATTGGTCCATCACTCACTGCTACAAAAATACCCCCGCTGGCCATCGCCTGGGGCTGGAGGGGTGGAATGAGGCATGAGCCGTGATCATATCTGCGATTCATATTTATATCCGGTAATAATGCCGTCGAACCCTTGGAAGGGAATCATGCGAAGTCTCTTCTTTCTCAGCTTCGCTGCTGGTAGAGATTGAGTCCTTGACACCAGGTATTGCATGGCCTACTTTGGACAGATCGAGACGATACAGCGTGTCGACGCCTGAAGCATAGTTGCCCCGTCGTGACAGGGATTCCTGAATGTCCGAAAAAACATCAGGAAGGTCTGCACTTCCGCTGTGATCGGCCTTCGGCGCATCTCGACGGCTCAGATCAGGGTCGTTGTTGTCTTCTTGACTTGATGGGTTCTGATTTCTCTCGAACTTGGGCGGGTCATCTTGTACCAAAGAAGGATTTGGAGGAGAGTGAGAAGACCGTTGATATTTATGACAGAATCGTAGTCTGCCCTTCTTTTCAACGCCTGGTTGTTGTTTTGCTCTGTACTCTAACGCATGTCTTCGGTTTTGATTGAAATCGATTGAATATTGTCGGTTTCTTCTGGGAACTTTGCTGCCAATTGGAACTATGCGGAAGGCAGTAACTCTGCGGATGGGAGACGAATCTTCAACCGCCAGCTGCTTACGTATCATATTTGTTTGTGTGGAGTCCTGTTCCTTCGCTAGAGCTTGTTGGGGCCTCGTTTGGTTTGTCGGGCTCGTCGTAGGGACTCCTTGGAGACTCGCTTTCATTGCCGCAATCTCTGCTTGCATCGACTTTAGAGATGACAAAGTTGCGGGCAAGCTCTCCAACGCGGTCTGGGACTCGGCCAGCCGATTTTGGAGGCTGACTATGAGTCGACGCTGGTCTATTTCTCGTTTCTGTGTGGCATCGAGGTCCTGCTGCAAAGGCCGTATAGCCTTCCGGGCGAGTTCAATTTGTCCTTTCAGAGATAGGATTTCAGTTTGATGTTGTTTAGACAATGCTTGTATATATCTAAGCTGCGAACGCGTTGTGTCCCAGATGGCGTCTCCGTGGGTGGAAGAAGGTTGATCCGTTTTCGAGACAGCGTATCGAAAAAATTTCTTGTTCGGAGGATTTATCACAAGCTCATCCTCCGAGTTCTGACAGGTCTCAGATAGCGTTTCTGAAACGTCGGGCTTGTGCAGTGTGCATAGTTTCTGGAATTTTCGAACCCTTTGACGATCCGTGAGCAAATCAAGTTCGTTTGAAGGGACCACTAGGGACTTCCATTCCAGTAGAATATTGCGCGCTCTGGGTGTAAACTTTGACGGACGGTAGCGGTGAGCCGCAGGGGGGGGAATGCCGGCGTTGACAGCGGCATCGAGGATTGTGGTGTATTCAGGGAGTCTTCTGCAAGCCACGCAAAGATCCAGCATTCTGAAGATGACCCGGCTCAAAGCGTCGATAGATTGTGAGGCAAGCAAGGTAGCATAATGGACGCATCTCCTCAGCCACAGGAGGCCTGCGTCCCAGTGCTGGCCAAGAGCATAGGCATGCAAAAAGGATGAGAACAGATACGATGCATTGGGACTGGCGAAATTCATCTCCTCCAGAAAGGAGCACCATACCTCAGCTCGAGCGGTTTGTTTGGTCCTCAGTGCCATGTATATTAGGGCTTGTAAAATGAACGGATTTAAGTTTTCTGGCACGGGGATTGCACCATTTTTGGACATGTAAAGCTGCCATTTCCCGACAAGGTTGTGTTGTGGAAAGCGAGATTGAACAACTCCGCGAAGAAATTTGTCGAATTGCGTCGAGTCACGAGCTCTGCCAAATGAAAGTAGCATGTGGCTTACGGCTTCGTCAGTCAGTGGCAGCTTGCTACTGTTAAATGCAGCGATGACATAGTAGGCTAAGCTATCGTGTCCGGCCCTGCCCAGTGCTTTCAGCATCGAGACATATGTTTGAGTGCAAGGGACGTGCTTCGAACTCAACACGAGTTTGGCGTAGCCTTGCACGAATTCATAACGATCAAGTTTCTGATTCCGGAAGTCGTTGACCAAAGACAGAATACTCGCATGGAGAGGACTTTCATGGTAGAATTGATCGATCTGGCTTCCTAGCCCATTTAAATCGGGATAAGCACGCCTTAGCGAAAAAAGCTCCGATTTAAGCTTGTGATTCATTTCAACCAGCCAGGGCAAATCTTTAACGTCCGGAAACCCCGCTGTGCCTCTGGTGTCTTCAATTAAGTCGTCTGGCACTTGTTTGAGATAACCTTTTGTGACGACGTGAAAATGCGTAATGAGCCTGATAGCCAGCATTGTTGCGACGAGGCGATGATAGCGGTGCGCTGCTGACATGTCTTGATCAGAATATGACCTGGCAGACTCAGGGTCAGAAGGAGGTGGCTGGTCGGAGGTGGATGATGGGCTAGATTTGGTATTTTCGAATTCCGCTATTAAATCGTTCTCCTGGAGCCAAGGCGGAGCTTCAATCTCGTCCTCATCACCTTCACTATCAAGCTGCTCCCAACTAGTTTCAGGAGCTGCAGAAGCCGAATAATGTCTTTGTTGACGCAAAAGGCCGCCGGACATGGAGTGAATCCGCAGAGAGCTCCGAATTCGTAGCTCTCGGGCGTGGAGTTGGTCTATCTCATTTTGAATGTCGGCTAGTTTCTTATCCCAATCCTTCCGCTGCTTTTCCTTCCAGCTGGTGTCGACGACGAAAGCGGTGGCGAGGACAGGAGTGAGAAGGAGGGTGAAGGCATCGTTAAATGTCAGGCGTCTCCTGATGGGAGCCGTGGTAGTTTTGCGGACCAGAATGGCCGCCGCCGGGTCATTGGTGACATGGGTAGAAATGGATGGAAAGCCTCCTACTCTGGGTCGGGGAATCTGGGACCATAATGCTCGCATCTCCCTGAGCACAGGTCATGGCAATGCCGACAACCTTTTGGGAAGGAAAAAAGGTACGACTGTGAGACTGCACGAAGCTCTGGGTGAAGTGGTGCGATGTTCGTCCAATCCACGAATTTGGGGGGGAGGGTCTCACGTGCAAGCCACCCCCATCACGTGCCAAATGTGATCGTCACGTGGAAACTCGAACTTCGTTTCTCGTTCCACGTCCAAGTCTACGAGACGAGTATGGTCTAGGAAGTCGCGGGTAGCAAGGGCTTTACACGGGAGCATGGCACAGACGCGTTTTCTCACCCCACGACTTACTAACATCATTCATGACTTGATGTGACACCTCTACGCAATAATAAAGGTGGGAATGGCTGCCAGGAGCCGATCGAACCCTGACAGCCGGCTTCATGGAAAGAAACATGACTTTGTTCCAGAAGCCTCCACCACTTCAATCTCCCTGTTGCGACCCTTGAAATCGCTGCGGCGCAGACGCGTGTTCCTTGCCCTGCTGACGCTATGGCTCCTCTATTTGTTCTTCAAGCATATGCCCACAGATGTTCCTTCCGTTGGCCAACGTTACGACCCTCGCTATGGCCGTCTCTCCCCGAATCTTGCTAGACCTGACCAAGCGCACCCGGAGCCACCCAACCCTGAAGCCCTTTCAAATGATGAACAAGGTTATGAAGGCCCCATCAAGTTCCTTGAATTGGCACGCAGCTTGCGGCATGCAATACATAACCCGACTACCCAAGGCAACGTCCTTTATGCAATCTCTAGGCTTGATAGTGTTCCTCGGATCCTCCCTCTTGCTTGCACAATGGCCCGCAACAACCGCACGCGCGTGCATTTCGCGTTCATGGGTCGTCAGTCTGCGAAATGGGATGATATTAAAGCCCTGAATGGCTTTGCCGATAGCGATTGTGCTTTGTATTTGCATGATGCACGTCCGGACCATGCTACTCAGTCGTCGATTAACAGACTAGATGTCAGCGCCCGCGCGAGCTTGGGTCACATCCATTCTGCGATAGGGCTGAGTGCGGTGTTTGTGGGCGACGCAAGCTTCGAAGATGAGTACCTGGTGGATTCTTTAAGGGAGAAAGCTTCCTCTGAGGGACTTTCGATAATCGCCCTTCCAGCTGGTGGACTGGCGGGTATGTCCTGGATCTCATCATTGAATGCTCGATCAATGAGCTACCTCAACGACATTAGCATTGAGATCATTATACATGCGCACACGGAAGCATCGGCGAATGTGATGCGTTTGATACGCTCTATCCAAGAGGCCGATTATTCGGGCTGGAGTCTACCCAGAGTGACTATCGAACTTCCCGCACGCACCGATCCCTTCTTGATGCACTTTCTTTCGAAGCTCCAATGGCCGCCGAGCGAGTACGCAAGTGAAAGCAAACTCGTTTTACGACACCGAATTGATGCGCGGCCCATTTCGCCAGTACAGGCTTCACTGAGAACTATCGAGTCATACTATCCTGCCCAGCTCAGCGAATCCCACCTGTTGGTGGTGTCACCAGATGTGGAATTATCGCCGGGCTACTTTCAATACTTGATGTATACTCTATTAGAATACCGATATTCGAGGCAGCCAACAGGATCTCTGGACGACGTGATGGGCATTTCTCTCGAGCTACCCGGTGTTGCACCGGATAGAAAGACCAAGTCGCCCTGGACGGCATTGAAGATCTCGGATCCCCTGGTGCTTTGGCAAGCACCGAATTCGAATGCCTGCCTGTATTTTGGGGACAAATGGGTAGAGATGCACACATTCCTTGCGCAACGGCTTATGAGTGATCCGGAGATGGCCAAGAAGAGTGCTGCGTCTCCAGTTCTTTCACATGATTACCCACGATGGCTTCCACTCGTGCTGGAAATGATGCAAGCGAGGAACTACTATATGCTGTATCCTACATTTGCACAGCAAGAGCATGAGGCAATCGCAACGTTACACAAGGAACTCGTTCAAAAGCCGGAAGAATACATGGAAGCAGAACACAAGCGTCAACACTCGGCAGGAGAGCAGGCCTGGGGGGTTGTACCTGAGGCGGAAGCGCTCACGGCAGACGATGAGATCAAACAACTATTGCGACAAGAACGCAGAGTATTCACCGATTCCCTGGTGGCGACGCTGCTTGATCAGAGTGATTCGAGAGGGCCAGACCACGTTGTTGATCCGACGTCGAAGATTCCCCTGATCTCCTTCTATGGCGAACAGATGGCGGCGGCAGAGTCAGTAAAAGACTCGTGGAAGTTTGCGGCCGAGTTCGCTCGTGATGTTGGGAGTTGTGCAGGTGGTTCATTCGAACAAAAGCTGGATAAGGTGCCCAGTATCGAGTCCCTATTTTGTCTGTCATCGAGTTGATCGACGCAGCGGCGGAGGCACAACGAAATCTCAGTCTGAGGAACACAGGGCTACTTTATTTTTTTTATCCACCACAGGCACCACAGCCGGAGGTTGGCACAACTTCAACAAATCATGGCCAGGCCTATAGCGTGGCACAAGGGGTGTCCCATTCTGCCAATGGCTTGAGCATCAGTGCGTGGATCCTTATTGGGCATGGGTGCCCCTGTCACGCCCGGAAGAAGTGGCATGTCGTCCAGGGTCCAAGCGGCTGATGAAGAAAGTGATCGAAGATCGTGGCCAGAGTGTTTGATAAGTGATAGTCAGGGTGCGTTTGAAGGTGCGGTTCAGGAGCCCATGCCCAGACGATCATCAATCGATCATGCTTGAGCTATCCAGCTATCAAGGATGGACAGGACCCATAGTGTCTCTGTTGTACAGAGTACACCCGTAGTCAGATGAAAGAGGTAATTCTCTCGCCGCGGGGGCTCTTTCAATACCTACTAGGTGCCTACCTAGGTGATCCCCATTCGATCACCCGTAATCACATAATTCCTAGTAGTACTTCCTACTCCGTACTGTGTCAAGGTCAACCCCTCCAGCTCCCCAAGTTCTCTCTAGCTGGGCACTTCTTCACCTCGGCAGGCAGGGCCCATGGGGGAGCAATACAAGCGCATCCCATCCCATGGATTATTTCTTTGTGACTTGAACCTTCTGCAGCAGCTCCCGCGCTCAAGACTGCCCTTTGGGGGCGCGACGCCCAATAGGTCGCTTGACCATTGAACTTGGCCTGCAGGTCTGATGCAGCTCACGACGGAGTCCCAGTGGCCGGGGCATGATCATCACTGCCCCTACTACTCTTAAAGTACAGTACTCTGTACGGAGTACTACTACTACAACTACTACTACTACTACTACTACCACTAGTTACGAGTCACGACTCACGGCAGACTCCCCGTGCGCAGTGCCATGCTTTCCTCTTATTGCCCCGCCCTCGCTACGCTTATTCTTATTCTCCCCCTTCCTTTTGCCGATGCCGCTGAGCCATCGACGCCCATCGACGCCCGTCGGCGGGCATCCATGGCCACCCCTGCACATCCATGCCTATCAAATGCCCACTAATGCAGCCTCTGCCACCCACTGCTGCATCCCCGGCCCCCAGAAGCACCCTGCATCCAATTGCCTGCCGCCCGACAACAAGAGCCTTTTCTGCCATGACCTCAAGTCGGCTCATGCTGGAAACTCTGGGAGCTGGAGCTCTTCCCACCATCTACCCACCCTCAATCAACCTCTGCCCCCCTCCATCTCTGCTCCGCGACCAACTTAGTACTCGTAGTTATTCGTGCTACGCGTACCAAGCACGTTAGCCTGCGACAATCCAAGGGCGGAAGACTGGGAGACACGGTTAATTCTCGTACGGCTCGATGTGCTCGCTCCATCGCCCCACCACTCCTCGTCTCCCCCCAGACTTTCCAAATTCCAAAACTCCATTCCTTAACCTAGAACCTAGACAGACCTTAGAACCCACTGGGACCTGACTGTCCTGTCGCGTCGAGAACCTACACTCCATACGAGGCGAGGTATGGTGCTAGCGCTCTGCCTCCCCAGATGTAGATGCCATTATTGCAAGCGCTGTCCTGTGTTGTGCCATGCCCCAACCTCAGAAGCTATTCGACTGCCATATACACACACTTCGCTGGTTTTACTCCTCCCACTTCACCTTGCACCTCGATTCATTCCTTCGGATTTCACACAGCAATATAGTTATACATCGCTCCTGCCACTGCTCCTGCCACTGCTTCTACGTCCCACCCCACGTGCGCAGCCTCGAGCGAGCATTGAGAGCTCCACCATCGCCGCCACCCTCCTCGCCCCCTCCTCTCACCCCACCATCGATTCCCAGGACCACCCTTTCCAAAGGATTCGATACACAACGTGTTTGTGATTGATCCTGCGTCCCCTTCTCAACTCACCCGGCTTCAAGGATACGGCTAGGACTCCTGTATCTGCAGGACGAGCCCTCCATATCGTCTTGACCGTGGCTCTTCACCACCTTCATTCAAAAACTCCATCATGGCTACAGTGGTCGTCCAGCAGCCACCAGTCCTTGTTGGACAATCCAACACTCCTCCCCCGATGGGCCCGACCCTGACTTTGAACAGACCATCAACACCAGTGCCCAATAAACATTTACCATATTGTCCGCCAGGTCCTGTTCCTTCGCAGACTCAAATCACTCCACCCAACTCACCCCCTCTGCGTACAGTCGCACCCAAGCCCAGCTCACTCCTCCATCCGCCAACCCCATACCAGAAGCTATGCAACTCACCACCCATCTATGGCCTCACCACCAAGGAACTCGCCGAAGCCCTTTACCACTACTCATCTCAGCCCTTGCCCAACCCATCCTCTGTCTTTCCCTGGCTTCATGGGCTTCATCCGGACAATCACATACAATTAGCCTTCTTCGTAGCTAGAAAAAAATCGTTGCGAAGGATTCCCAAGTGTCTAAGAGGAATCACAATCATAAAGGCTGGCGGGGACCTGAGTCGGTCTCGGATCAATGGTGCTATTGCCCCAGACGAGATCCTCAATCTTTCCGAGGGGAATGGTCGAGGATTTGTTGACTGCGACCCTCGAGAAGGTTTCTCCGTCCGCAACTTCCATATTCAAGCCGCAAAGATGGCCTTGGTCTCTGACATAGTCATATATGGTGACGAAGATACTGACCATCGCATTATCAAATCAGTCGCTGAACGGACAGCTGCCGTTCAGAAGCGATGGCGGAAAGAGCTAGAAAACATGGGCCACTGTCCCGAGACCTTCCATACTTTTGTCCTCACCCAACAATTCGAAGACTTCGAACAACACTATCCTGACTTGGTCTCCGTCGATTCTCAAGGAAGATATGCCGACCATACTCTAGACTTCCTTCAACAAGAAAGAAAGGAGATGTGTGCCATGTCCAAAGCGTCGGAAATCTCCCATGGTGTCTTTCAGGGCCCTTCACCGGGACCACATACTGTACCACCCTCCAGCCCTGATGATCCGACTTTTGGCCTCTACGTCGAAGCTAGTGATCATGCTACAGTCCCAGATGATAGGCTGTTGGCAGCGAAGCGCAAACAACTGGAAAATCGAGAAGACGATGATCCGGTACATCTTTCCTTCCCCAGCTCTGGGAGCATACTGCCTCCCTCGTGGTCACATGCAGAGGCAGACGGTATCTTACGCATGTGCAAGTGGCTATATGAGTTGACTCACAATGTCAAACCAGTTGGCGCCACAAGAGATGAAGATGGCGATATCCAGATGACTGAGCTGGCATCGTCTGCACGGAAAGTCCTCATACACTGTGCCGATGGTTATACCGAGACATCCATGTTGACTGTCGCCTATTTCATGTACGCTGAGGGTTTGCCCTTACATGAGGCATGGATCCGCCTGCATAGCGAGAAAAAGAGAAATTTCTTCGCATACCCGTCGGATGTTGCTCTCTTAATCGCAATTCAAGACCGTATCCTGCACGAGAGTCCCAAGGCTCGTGAGAGGTCAGCAACCATACCTGAAGCACCAGCATGGCTAGCAAAACTGGATGGAAGTCTCCCGAGTAGAATCCTCCCATACATGTACCTTGGCAATCTAACACACGCAAATAACCCCGAGATGCTCAAATTACTCGGAATCAGGCGCATTCTGAGCGTGGGTGAACCGGTTTCGTGGAATGATTCCCAGGTAAAGTCTTGGGGACGAGAAAACTTGCTCATGGTGGATCGAGTTCAAGACAATGGTATTGATGAACTGACAACTGAAATGGAAAGATGCCTAACATTTATTGGTGAGATTTTTCGACGTGCCCTAATTGATACGCATGCTAACCATGTTTCAGGAAAAGGCAAATCTGAAGGCAATGCTACATTGGTACATTGTCGCGTTGGCGTCAGTCGATCGGCCACCATATGCATTGCAGAGGTTATGGCGAGTTTGGGTTTGAGTTTTCCTCGAGCATAGTAAGTCAATCCTGTAATAGAGTCGACAATGAGATGCTGATCAAGCGATCAAAGCTGCTTCGTTCGCGCACGGCGCCTAAATGTCATCATCCAACCCCATTTAAGATTTGTCTACGAGTTAATGAAATGGGACGAGTGCCAGCAAATCAAGAGGCAAGAACCTCTCAAGCGGGAAATGGACTGGGCCACGGTCGCAAGGGAGATTGCAGCTATGAATAGACCATATGCTCGGACTTGATAGCATCGGGTTTTCTTCACTGCGATACGGAACAGCGCCTGGAGCTCGTGTTGACCAGACCCTTTTATCCCATCAAGTCAAAAGACATCCTTGGGCTTTTCCAAGTGGGAAAACAGTTTACAGAAATTTTGACGACGAGATGATGTTGATGATACCAGCCTTAGGAGGAATGGATGACACCTGTATGATTTTATGAAGTAACGAAGGATCGAGGATACGTGGGTTTGTACGGAACGACTTCGAAGCAGTCGTTCCTTCCAAACAGTTCGGATTTCAGCCTTGGTCAGTCTCCCTGTTGATGGGTAAGCAGTGGACTGCGGATGGCAGACGGGAGACTTACGTAACAAATTCGGTGGTGTGTCAGGGAACATTTTGTATTGCACTTTCGACGCCTTGGGGGTTCCGGTCCTCACACGGGTTTTTGGGTTTTGGTTCTATTTTCAACCTTTGTTGGTCGGTCAGGCAGAGAGCGATTTCGGATCCCGCGTGAGTGACGCAAAAATCCAACGAGAAAGGATATTTGGTTGGCCTAGCCTGGTTAGGGTAACTGGCTGGGCCTTGTATACCTAGGTATTTATGTTGGTATACTATATTCTAATACATGATCCCTTTTTTTGGCTGTTCAGTCTTGTGCAGTCTTTATCTGGGCTAGACAACATTAGCTACATAACCACGAGGTGCCTCCCGGTCCAGAAGAGAGATCAGTGAATATGTGTAGTCAACGCAACAGTCTCCCATCTATTCGATACCTGGTACATAGTCTCAACTCAACAGGATTCCCATCCAATGCTATGATATGATATCTGTCTTGATTGACACACTCACTTCGCGGCCGCCTTTCCCGCCCGTCTGTTTTGGGAAGTCTGGATATCCCGACCTTGTCTTCTTTCAAGCAAAATCAACTTTTCTTTTGCCTTTTCACTGGTCATAGGCGGTCTGCTCGTTCCCTCAATTCGTCTGCCAGGCGTTCGAGATATGCTTTTGTCAAGGCTTTGGGGATGCCCTCGCCGAAGAGGAGTGCTTCGTCGTCAACCGCGGCGGCGGCACGGGCTTTTGTTGTCGAGACTCCTGCTGGATTCGGTGCTTGGACTCCCTTGTCTGCAGACGATGACGATGAGGCTGTCTGCGGCGGAGGGGTGGTTCCGTTTTCTTGTGGTTTTTTGGGAGACGGGTTTCTATTTTTGGATTGGATGGCTGCGTTGTTGCTGCTGTTGTTGTTGGTGGTGGTGGTGGAGGAGGAAGAGGAGGAGGAGATGAAGCGGCGGACGATCTTGTCGAGATCACGCCTGCCGTCTTCATACGCGGCGAGATCGCGGTTGCCGTAGACGTCGCGGCCCGCCGGGTATTTGGCGGACGAAAGGCTGCGGAAAAACACGTTCAGGGAGACGTTGATGTGGGAGTTGGCTGCGTCGGAGTCCGCGTCGGCGAGTGTTGTCGTGATCGAGGCGGCCGAACGTGATGACGCGCTCGGGGTCCCGGGCAGAACGGGCAGAGGCGTCCCCGTGTGGGACCACAGCGGGGGGATGAACAATGCTTCTCCAGGCCGCAGGACCGCGATGTGAGGGTGTGTATCAGGTATGGGTCTCAGCTGGTCTTCCTCCCTCCCCGGGTGCTGGGACGGTTCGAGGATGTCAAGTGTTGAAGTGGTAGAGCCAGCGGGGAACGACAGGTGCTTGATGTCCTCCGGTGGGAACAGGATGAGTTTCCGGGTCCCGCGGATCTGGAACAGCACGTTCGCCATCACGTCGTAGTGCAGCCACATGTTCACGTTCGCGCTGACGCGGAGGGGACTGCTATGCTTGTTCCTGTGGATGAAGGCTAGACATGGATAGTCAAGGTGGACGTCACCAGCGAGAGAAGGCCAGTCTTTGTCGAATATCGCCGGCGCTTGGGTTGGATTGTTGCTGGAGAGTGAGCGCAGGTACATATGTGCCTCGCGGTTGCTTTGAAGGATTTTGATGAAGTTGTGGAAGGTCAGTGTCGTATAGGTGAAGTCTTTCCGTTGGAAATTCATGGTCCGGTTGGTGGCGGAGTGGACCACGACGTTTTGAGATGGTGGGATTTTGGAGAGGAGATATGATGACGTCCAGAGCGACACACAGGGCCCGAGATCTAGTCCAGTCAGCAGTCGGGGTTTGCCGTCCCTGAGCACTGTGAGGAAATCGGTTTCCGAGCAAGGGTGAATGGCGTCTACCATGATCGGGTCATGAATTGTGCCTTCTTTACGGGCGGGTGTGTTGAGGGCTTTTGACGATTTGGGTTTGACGAGTGCCCAATGTGAGCTCACCCCTGATTCTCTGTCGTACAACAGCCAGCATCCTTGGTTCCAATACGTTCCAAAACTGAAGCATGTCGCCCCTCCACCAACAATCAGGGTGGTTTCTCTCACTGTGCGATGCGTGCTGTGCCCGATCAGAAAGGGACGAGGGACGTCAGGGTCCTTCTTTGGCAACACGCAGGCGACCCTTAGTTCCATCTCCTTCTCATATTCGCCGAAAGCAGAGAAACTCCCGAGAATAGACAAAATCTCGTAATCTTTGGGAATACAGCCTTGTTTAGCAACCCCGCCGATGAGGAGCAGCTCATTTCTGATCACACTGTAGGATGCCCCAAGTCGCGCAAGCCACGGGAAAATCCCGGCAGATGTATCCAGAGCTGTGGAGGTTTTGAAACTAATGCCCGCAACGACGTTGTCTCTGATGGTCAGCCTCCAACGCCATAGGCCTTGACAGATAACTCCATCATGTCTCATGCCGCCGAATAGCAACCCGTGATTGTATCCTAATCGAACAAAGCTGGCACCGAAACGTGGCATCGGGTCGCTCCGAAGGGACTTTAACTTCTGCCAGCCATTTTGCCTATCCCACAAGAGAACGTCAATAGCAACTTTGGTGGCAGAAGTCCTTCCGCCAAAGACCACAATGCCATATTTATTGTCAGGCAATACGACAGCAGCGGCTCTGTGTCGAAACCGAGGCTCTGGGAGGTCCTGTATGCGTTCCCACTTGGAGCCGGTCTGCAGCCAGCAGTCCCTCATCGGCGCTGAGGGGGATGCACGACCACCTACCAGAATATTTTGGCCGTTTCCCATGGTTGTGATGGTATGGCAAGATCTTGCTCCGATGTCCTCGGGAGGTAGTGCGGGCATGATCATGTCTTTGTTGTCGGCAGATGTGTAGACAGAAGTCGTCGACAGTCTAGTCTGTTGACCAATTCCACCAAACAGACCAATTGCATCTTCATTAGGTACGCCAAAGGCGGAGCCGTGGTGAGTTCTACCCTCTCGCTCGGGATTTTGGGAATACGTATATGCGAACCACTGACTTTTACCCCGGTAAGGCGAGACAGTGCGAGTGCTCATATCCGATGCAAAGCTGTCGATCGACGCTCTTCTTGACTTCGGTTGTTCTGGGATGAGCGGGTCCGGCCCAGTCTGTGCGACAATCAAGCAATAGTGCGATGCGAATAAGGCAAATTCTTCCCTGAATTCCGTGATTAGCACAGAAGACCATTTAGGGCTGTGCGGGAAGGGGGATTGTACCATTCATCAAATGGTTCCACCTCATCTAAGGACATCCTCTGTGTGGGTGATAGGAAGCGTGGATCGGCCCATAGCTCCCACAGGTTTTGTATTTCGATCAGGGTATAACCTGCATTTTGGAAACGTAATATCTGAGTATGACAGCCTGGGTACGTGAGGACAGAGCGAAGCGGAGTTCCAAGTTTTGCAAAATGTTTCAGCATCGTTGCAGTAAAGGGATTATCAGCTCGATCGGGGGACTGCTGTTCCAACAGGCAAAATGTTACATCTGCGATATCAGTATGGCATGGGAATCATGATATCCCGTTGAACATACCGGGCGACAAATTCGTAGTCCAGCCAATCAGAGCATCGGAATCATCAACCGACATATATGTGATACTGACTTCCGCAAGACATAGAACGAGACACTGATCGATATCGACAACTGTTTTGAGGAGTCGTTCTAACCTCTTCAGGTTCCGGAGATCACATCCAATTGCAGCATATTCCTCGCTGTCAAGCAGGACATCACTTCCCGCTGCTGCTGTGGGATTCGACAGTAGATCCTTCATCTTGGGCGTGTTGAGTATGATCTCTCGCTTACTGAGCATGAGCTCTTTGAAGTCGATATCAATGAATTTCGTGTTGTCGCATGCATCGCGATACTGTGCGAGCCATTGGAATGGAATTGGATCACTGCCAACAGTGAGCAAGGAGGACGAATTCCATCCAGGGTTTCCCTCCTTACTCACTACCCACATCCCAAGTTTAGAATAACCTTCCTCTGCTCCGAGGGTCTCTCCAAGAATTGCCTTACAACCCAGTCAATCGCTCTCATTCGGAGCCAGTACCCACGGTTGATAGTAGGCGACCTTCGCTGAGGCTTCCGTACAAAGTACCTGTAGAAGTGGGGCTGAGGAAGATACAACTTTTCAACACTTCGCTTGGAGACAATGCTGCTGTTATTAGTCTGTCATGTAGGTTAGTTCGATCTGGGCAACAGGCGTCGGTTTGAGATGACATACACCCATTATGAGGCCGGCATTTTTCTCCATGGCGAGCTCATCCTCAGGCTCCGGCACCGGAGCATTGAGCGGCGACGCCATCTTCAACACTCCTAGGTCTCAACAGAGAGATCTTTGAGGGGTTGATGTATGCCTGAGGCAAGGACAGTTCACAGCAACCATCAGAGCAAAAGCACTACGTGAGTCACAGTTGGAGGAAAAGGTGCCGGCCCTGTGATGCATTTTCCATACAGAAGTCTTGGCGGAAGAGTCCGAAAAGAGAAAAAGTCTCTGGGCGAAGCACGTGCACTTTTCCCCACGTAGGTCAACAGGTTTCGTTCATAAGTAACTCTCCTCTTCAACCCAGGTTTTTAAAAGATCCGATCGCTGAGAACATGGTAGAACACGACTGTGTATAACCCCATACAATCTGCCTTCTCATACGATTGTCAGAGTCTTCCTGTCCCAAGGGTTCCTTTCTTGGTCCAGCCAGTCCACAGTTTCGGCCATAATGCAAGTCAGAGTTCGAATGGTATCTATTCGCGAACAGTGCCAAGTAATCGCCTTTCGCCCAGGCTATCCCTGTATGCCGAATGTTCTGTCATCGACTAGGCCTGTCCGTGAATCACCTAGGCAGTACGAGGATAGGACGGCCAAGGCCGTATTGTAGGTATGTAGGTTTGATACGGGCAGTGATTGGTGGTAGCGTAAGTAGGTATTGCAAAACTGACGTTGTACATAAGGTCTTTTGGGATGGTATCGAGGTATCACAAAGACCTCTTATCAAATATACAAAGAACTAATTCACTCCCTCCTACTCTTCCTCCTGCGCTCGTGCTCCCCCCCCCCCCAAAAGAGAAGTATTATTCCCCGGTACGGATTAATAGATATTCCGGCCCACCGCATCACCGCCGAGTGAGGGCCATTAGCGCTGGTGGATGAACCGCCAGTAGCCAGGGGTTGCCTGTCGATGCTGTGTGATCCCGTGCAATTCGCGTCCGGCGTGGTCGATTCGCCGAGGGGCTGCCTGGGACTGTATTTCTTATATCGCTGAGCCCGTACGCGAATTGATGGCGCCGTACGCGAGTAGTCGGTAATTTATTCGTATCTCGCGCCTTTCGTGCCTGGTCCGGAACACCCCTCGAAGGAGCCATCTTGCTTTTCGGAGACTTTCAATAATGGGCAACAGCCCTATGAGGCTGGTCATTAGGGGGCTAGTATGGACTTTAAGGATAACGATAGCTAGACACTAATACAATAGGCCGTAGAGAACTGACATGAGTCGGTATTGAAGTAGCTACTTAAAAAGGGGCTAATTTAGGGGCTGGAGAATAGCCGGACACCGCTATCCTAGGCTATATAGTGAGAGTATAAAGCGATAGTTGAGCAGCCACTCGAGAAGGAGGCTAACTTAGAGTCTAAGAATAAATATAGCTAGACACCGCTATCGTACGCGATAGAGAATAAGCACGAGGTAGTAGTTAAGTGGCTACCTAAGAAAAGTAGTGACATAGAGTCTAAGGACAATAACAGCTAGACGCTACTATTACTAATAGGTCGTACGGACCGCCTCCGTAGAGGTAGTTAATTAGCTACTCGAGAAGGGGGCTGATTTAGAGTCCTAGGACAACGATAACTAGGCGCTAATGTCGTGGCCCTAGAGATCTTTAGTCTTTACTGCGCCGCGCAAATGGAGTGCTTAAAAGACGAAGGACTTCATCCTATACTACAGCACTACTTCCGTATCTCATCAATCGACCCCAAGGAACAAGCTGGACGTGCTCCTAGTACAAGAACCACCGGTCACAGCTTACCGCATGTACGTCTTTGAGATCTTGAACCGCCATCCCACATATTTGAACCGCCTTAACAGTAACCTGATCCTCGATAAATATATAATCATGAGCGATACGTCTCTTTACCATGAAACATTTCCAAGGCATTCCGTGTTTCCTTCCGCTCTAGACACAGCTCGCCAAGGGCTTTGAGAACCCTCGAAACAATCATTTCAGCCCAGGAGGGTAGTTGGCCTCTAGACCAGCAATCCTTGCGATCAAAGAACTCGTGCACGCGATTCAAGGCGGATAAGGCCGTCTTGAGGTCTTGCATCATTCGACAAGCGCTACCGTAGCTGACAACGATAGACATTACCGTGTCCGTACTGGTATTTTGAAGCGCCTCGGGAAGGTGAGAATAGGCGTAAATATTGTCGTGAAATGCTTTCACGTCTAGCTCAAACTTGCGCTGACCATAATAAACGAATCCCAGATCATTTGAAAACTGCGTGATGATTTCCAAGAATACGACTCGTTGCTGCGATAAACAACTGAGAGCAACTTTGTAGTGTCGAGAAGCTTACATCGTATCGGTCCAGAAATCGGAATAATGCACCTCATCGCTCTAGGTATTGTGGCTGAAACCTTCCAGTCCGATATATACCATACATTAACCTGCGTGAGAGGCCAGCTCTTGGGCTTTCCTTCAATAGTCATTTTCCAGAGAGCGAGGTACTTTGTCAGTGACAGGTGAAACTGCCCTAGATACTCAGTCTTCTTTCGCGCGTGCTCCTCGGTGAGGCGCAAATATGTGTGCCGCCGGATGAAAGGAGTAGGAAAGGCCCTGCGTATCATCATTGTTGAGTTGTATGGATGAAAAATCCAACAAAATTTCAATGGTTTCATCAAACAGGTGACTGTCACTGCCCACTGTAAAGAGCCAGCTTGGAAGCTTAGGCGAACTGCCTTTGAACAAGGTCAAATGCCAAGGGGAGTTAAATCTGCCCCGAGCTCACCCCCGATCAGGATCCAGGTGACGCCGCCTTGTGCTCACCTGAGCTCACCCCCTGCTCACCCCCTGCTCACCCTCTGCTCACCCCCCTGCTCATCCCCTGCGCGCGAGCCGGGAACTGTACGCACGGGTGACTCACCCTCCGTGGGGCTTAATGGTTAAGGCGCCTTAAGGCGCGGATGGTGCGACGCCAGTCGGCGCTCGGCTTGCCGCGACCATCAGAAATTATTATTGGTGATCGGCTCTAGCGCCTAAAGAAGCGTCTCGTTTACAGTCCCCGCCAAGACGGATAGTGACAATAAGCGGCAACGGAGTAAGGACGTTTTCGTCCTTAGTAGTGTAGCGCCTTTAACCCGAGCGAGAAAGGCCCCGTACCACTCCTCGTAGACCGCCTATTATATTTAGATATAGACAAGAAAATTCTACGACAACATTCACCTGGAGATGAAATACGAGGTTCTTAATAAAACTGGAAGAAAGGCCGTCATAAATCGCTTCTCAGAAAAGGTGTGTAGCGAACGATTTGATAATTCACAAGCAGGAGTAATTACAAGGTCCGGAACACTAATCAATTCTCCAGTTCGCTCACCCTGACAAACATGCCCTTCTGCACGAACAATCCATAATTCATGTTCTTCTTAATTGGGTTCACAACATCAATCAAGCTCCAATCGAACCTTCTGATCATCTCGAAGAAGATCTTGTTTAACTCTAACCTCGCAATGTTTTCGCCCATGCATCGGAATCTGCCATTGCCGAAGACAAGATGGTGTGCCTCTTCCATGACGGCCAACCGCTCGGGAGAAGCTTCCAGCCAGCGCTCAGGTCGGAAGATTTGTGCATCTGCACCGTATACCTCAGTATTATGACGGTGCATGTTCCATGCGCAGAAAGCGACTTCGGTTCCGGGAGGAAGGTAGACGCCATCGTGTGTGTCACCTTGTGGGCCAACAACGCGAGGGAGTAAGCCGGCTGCAGCGGGGTGATGGCGTAGAGCCTCTTTGATGCAGGCTTGCAGGTACGGCAATCTTAGGGCTTGAGCGTGGGAGATAATTGTTTCCAATGGTACATCTGTTGCCACCGCTTCAGCTTGTAGTTTTCGGTATATATGCGGATGTGTTAGGATTGAGAGGAAGCCAGTGCGGACGATGGTTGCTGTTGTGTCAGAACCGGCCAGGAGTTGGAACAGCGACTCGTCCGAGATCTCGAGTTGTGACAAACCATGGTTTTTGAAAGAAGTTACCATGTCATACCGTTCTGCCTTCTCACCAGAGAAACGACTCGCAATGATCTGCCGAGCAACTCTGCGAAGGCGTCAGTCTCTCGCTTAGAAGAATGAGTCTTGATACTCACGCTTTAACCTTTCCTAGCCCAGTCTTCTCTTTCGGCGAAGGAATAAGATTGGCCTGTACGGTTGGGATCCTTGCGATGGATGACAGCAGCGGCACCGCCGAAAAGATATTCATTATCGGAAAGTTGTCTTCCATCGACTTCACGTAGGCATACTTGTCAGTGTCATCGGACACGAATCCGAATGCTTCACCAAGCGACAAATATGTAATCACATCCAGTGTGAAGTATTGTGCTAGCTCAGCCCAGTCCAGCGGCTTGATGTTAGATCTCACAGAAAGGTATTTTCGTTGGATCAAATGCACAACGTCCATGACCATTTGGTTGATACTTGGCTCACATTGAGGGTTGTCCTTGCCTGAATACTGTTTGCCTTCGTAAGTATTCGAGCTCGGGAGACGAGCTTCGTGCTTACCCCAGGAGACAGCTTTGCACGCATCAAAGAGTGCTTCTCGTCATTTAGCTCGGTGAAAAGGTTTTCTCGCTCGGCGTCCATTTTGAACGCTTTGTACCATGGTCCACGAGAGTAGTCATTGATCCTGTGAGCATTTGCTTTGCGGTACAATTCTAGGTCCGAAGTCACGACCATATGAGGGCTAATTCTGGCAATCGATCCTGGAACGCTCGTCAAATGCCTCATTTACCTTCGTGCGAGACCTTCATACCATAACGATCACAAGCATATTTCAGGGCAAGATGCCCTTTCCCAGAGATTGCAGCTTTGATCCACCACCAATTTGTGAAAGCTGCCAACGGTGGCCCAGGAATATGCTGCAGTGTATTATATGCGACCAGCGTCGTGACGACAATCCAACTTAGCCAGACGACAGCAAAAAGGCAGAGGATTTTCGTGGAGCTCGCTTGCAACGGTCCAATGATTTGTTCGAGCATCTTGAGGTACCTCTACAAGCGTTCTGCAGATGTCGAATTGAGCAGAACCAGTCACACTATACGTGTAAAAATAAGAGAACTTGACAGTGGTGCAACTTCAAAAAAGGTGAGATGGTTATCGATAAGCGGGATCGTGTTGCCCTTGAACGAGCCGAGCATAAGCAGCAACTTTGAGCGGCAAGCTAATTAAGAGCCCAGGTTAGGGAGAGTTCGGAAGTATTCATGCAGCTAGGTGTGTAACCGAAGCGTGTGCGCACCACCTTGGCAGTCAGGCCGAATATGGGAAGCCCAATTCGCCAGCCCATACGGAGCTACATACCTCGAGTGCAGCCATTGGCCCGGGGATAGATCAACAAGCTCACACGTACAGCAGTTTAATATTGCGACGGGACCTTGGCACCCGGCATGCGTTGGCGTTCTCGAACAGCTTGGTTCATCGGAAACCTTCCTCCCGAGCACGCAAAGTCAAAAATCCTACCTTTCATCCAAACGGCAAGCCTATATTACCTTTGCGCAGTTTGCCTTATAGTAGCAGAAATCGAAGTAGAAATCGAAAATGGCTTCAACTCAACCAGAAGCCGATCCTAGCGAAGAGAATCAAGCGGGTGGCCATGTAGAGATAGACCACGGCGTTTGTCCAGTGTTTCACCCGCGCCCCTGCTTAAACTAACCATCGTCCACAGTTTGACACCGAGGACTCCGGCTTTGAGCAAGACTCTGTCTTGACACAATCCGTTCGGTCGAGTATATATCAATATAAGGTCGAAAATGGCCGCACATACCATGCATATAAAGAGGGCCAGTACTTCATGCCTAATGACTTAGCCGAGCATGAACGACTGGAATTGCAACATCGTGCAATGTTTCTCGCTGCTGGTGGCAAGCTTTTCTATGCACCTCTCACGGAACCCCAGAATGTCTTGGATCTAGGAACCGGCATTGGAACATGGGCAATTGATGTGGCTGACGCGTACCCCAAGGCCATAGTGACAGGTGTAGACTTGAGTCCTATTCAACCCTCCCTCTCTCCACCAAACACTAGGTGGGAAATCGATGACATCGAGGACGACTGGACGTGGCCACCGAACCACTTCGATCTTATCTACAGCCAATTTATGCTAAGCGGAAGTATCGCGGATTTTCCCAAATATTTTCGACAGGCTTTCAGGTAAACATCACGCGATATCCCGATTTCTAGCACAGTAATAATCTGATGTTCTTCGTTTCTTGAATAGACACTGCAAGCCGGGCGGTTACTTCGAGCTTCGCGACCTGGCCACATACCTGCGAAGCGACCACGCTCCAATTAGTGAAGACAACGCCGTCGACGAGTGGTGTCGTCTCATGCGACAAGGCATCGTCGGAATGGGACGCAGGCTTGACCTAAACTTCGAGGAACTAGGTGATCTAATGCGACAAGTTGGTTTCGTCGATGTGGTAGTTCGGCCGTTCAAGATTCCTATCGGTCGATGGCCGGCTGATCCGAGGTTGAAAGAGGCAGGGTTATTTCAACTGTACGCAATGTTGGGAGGTGTTGAAGCACTGACACTTGCCATCTTCACGCGCTGTCTAGGCTGGGAGTCAGAACGTGTTCAAGTATTCCTTGCTGGTGTGAGGAAAGAGTTTAAAGCGACGAAACGCTATACTTACTGGCCATGGTATGTTGATGATCAAGCCCGAACTGATGGAGCTGATTTCTTGGTCGCAGCGCCGTCATCTATGGGAGGAAGCCTGAGTCTGTGCCCTCAACAGGCTCTGCGCCATAAGCGACCGGAGTGATTAGCTGATCACCCAGTACGGCCTTGCACGCATGCAGGACCAAGGGTGCATAACGGCGTTTGGGTCCTGCGCGAACGGTGTCTAAGAGATCCGCACTACCATGAAGCCACGATCGCGTCCGAGGCACGGCTACATACCAGGACCCGGTTCCGGAAGAAGCTACTCGGCACAGAGACTAGGATTGCGCTCAACGTCAACAAGAAATTCATGGCGAGCAATGTCATTTATGACAGCTGTGCCCTCTACGCCACGGTCGAGGATCGCGTAACAGGCGAACAACCCAAATGGCTGCCTCTCGTTTTCATGAACTTGGGAATTCAATACGGCGTAGTACTATAAGTAGATCTTCGACTTAGGAATATATTTTTGTCATCGGTGTCGAATTGAACGGGCTATGTTGTAGGATAGGATAGGAAAATAGTTGTCCAGTCGCCATGGAAGCGAGTTGAGCTAGTCTCATGGACTAGATCTAACTAGCGAAAAGACTTGGTTCAGCCACAAGGGCTCGGTGAATGAGAGTTTGCGATCATAGTGGCTTTGCCTCTAGGAAACGCATGATACCCCAAATAAGCCGGGTTTCGCGTTCGCACTAAGAGCAAGTGCGAATGGCTGGCAGTCTACGCCGTCCAACCAACTTGAATGGGCTGCTTTTAGGCGGTGAACGAACTCCCGTGACCTTGGACGAAGTCATATCCATGCGTAGAATTATTGAGCAGAAATTTCACTCTCTTGGTCCTAATACTCGGTATTGTGTTGAGAACTTGGCTAAATCTACCGTAAGGGTCATTACGGCCTGCGGATCTCCTTTTTTCAAAGAAAATGAAGAGCTGATCAAACAAAACAACGCAAACAACACTCGGACATTGAGGAAATCGATCATCGTTGGAAAAGCAAAGGTAATGAGTTTTGAGGATATCGAGAAGGAGATTCAAAGGCGGGAAGAAAAGGGGGCTACTAAAGGAAGTCGTCACGGACGCAAGGCAAAGAAGGCGGGGGCGACGCCTAGTGAAAGGGGAAAGTCGCGTGAGGACGAGATCGAATCGGCAAATCGAGAATTTAAGCGTGAAGAATAGGGAGCTTATAGCTCTATCTTTTAATTTAGTATATACACATACACACATAATTTATTACGCCCGGCGGCAGAGCCGAAAGAGCAACTAATACTAGTCTATTAATACATTTCTTAAAGATATAACCTAGTCTCCTTAGAGCCTATATAAAATAGATATCCTCTTCGTAACGCCCTTCTACTCGCTTACTACGTCTTTACGGATTCTCGTATATTAGTATTATTAGTAACCTACCTTAAAGGCGATTCTCTAAGTATTTAGTATTCTATTTTCGGTAGCTAAAGCGCGCCTACTTTTTCCGGTACGAGTTAATATTTAGGGGATCGAAAATAATAGTGTTAAGACTAAGCGATACCCTATTAACGCCTAGT